GCAATTTTTAAAGCATGATAAATCATTAGTTTTCTCAGAATATTTTCATATTGTTTAATATTATTTTACCAGTGTCCCTCTTCTACATAAGATAGGACAAGCACAGAATTTAAACTCATTTAATTTATTAATATATTTGTATTTTAGAAAACCTGGAAACAGCAGTCCCTAACATCTGTAAACTAATTTTCATAAGAAATTCTTATTTATTCTAACTTTTTCCATTGCATTATTAAGCTAGCCAAAGGAAATGTCCTAAAACCAATTACCTTTCTGCCAATTTATGTAGTTGTTCTTTTCAGCATTGTGAAAGACAAAATATATTATCACTTTTTTAATTTAAATAGCTTGATGTAAACTTAGGACATTGCCAACATAATTCTTATAAAGTTTATATATTTGATTTGATAACTGAGAAAGTTACATGGAATACTCTGACCCCTATAGGGACAACTGTATTTTTACTCCAGTTAAGATCAGCTAGAGATTATTTGAAACAGAGTTATTACCATCTCATGTATAGTTATTGAACAGCAATTTGTTTTGGTGCTGGGAAGTATCTACCTCTCTTCTTTATAGAGCCCTGGCATAAATCCCAATCCCAGAATCTGGAGCCACTGGTTCTACTACAGGAAAATATGTTTCAGGTATCCTAGATTAGAACTGAGAAATATAATTTCACCTAAGAAAAAAGGTTGTTAGCTATTGTATAAATATTTGCTTCTGTGGGCTCTTTTGGGAATCTAACTGGTCAGAACACATAACTAAGTTATGAGTTTGATCCCTGGTCGGGGCATGTACAGGAAGCAACCAATGGATGTTTCTCTCACATCACTGTTTCTTTCTTTCTTTCTCTCTGTCTCTCTCCCTCCCCTCCCCCCTTCCTTTCTCTCTAAAAAAATCAATAAAAACATATCCTTGGTTGAGGATTAAACAATAAATTGCTCATATGGGAAAGGAAGTTTCAGGTCTCAAACCAGCTGATTAAAAAGTAAATTTTTGACATACACAATTTTAGAAATTAGAACCGTCTTACATTGCACCAGACAAAATTAGGTAAAATGTCTCTTTAAATATCTTGAATTGTCAATTAAGGCTTCATTGCTTGACATCAGGATAGTTATATGGAAATAAACCCCAAACATTTCAACCATGTTTATTTATTTTCTAGAGCTCTGGCGCACGAAATTTGTGCACGGGTATGGTCCCTAGGCCTGGCCTCCGATCAGGGCCATCTTCCCCAGCTGCCCGCAGCAAGCCCTGCCCCCTGCCGCCACACACCCCTGGCTCTCTGTTCGCCATCGAGCAATTGGAGCCTGCCAGCCAGGGAAAGGGACCAAGAGGTGGTCAGTGCACCTGGTAGTGACTGGTTGAGCAGTAGTTCTGGTCATTCCACCATTAGAGTTAATTTTCATATTACCCTTTTATTATATAGGATTCATCTATTTTATTAAAGTTTTGATCTCCAACTATGTGCCAAGTAGTAGTATAATTGCCACATAGAGCAATAAATAAAACAATATTCCTATCCTCAGGGATCTTACATTCTACTGGGAGAATGTACATAGGGTAACGTAACAGTGCTTATAAAGTGTTTTCCTGTCTCATATATGAAGTTGTGTTGTAATGAGTGACACAAGTGAAATTTGTACTGTATTTGTACCCTGCCCCTATTATATAGTACTAGAGGCCCAGTGCACGAAATTTGTACATGGGGGGGAGGGGGGGTCCCTTCAGCCCAGCCTGCACCCTCTCCAATCTGGGACCCTTTGGGGGATGTCTGACTGCCAGTTATGCCCAATAAACCGGCAGTTGTATATCCCTCTCACAATCCGGGATCACTGGCTCCTAACTGCTCGCCTGCCTGGTCACCCCCAACTGCCCCCCACACCCCTGCCGGCCTGGTTGCCCCCATCTGCCCCCCCTCTACCAGCCTGGTCTCCCCTAAATGCCCCCCCCCACGGGCCTGGTCACCTCTTACTGCCACCCCTTGCCGGCCTGGTCACCCCCAACTGCCCTCCATGCCGGCCTGGTCGCTCCACACAGCCTGCTGTTCAGTTGTTTGGTCATCCCTCACTAACCCCCGTGCCAGACTTGTCGCCCCATGCAACCTGCTGGTCGTTACTGTTACTGTGATGGCGTCCCAGACAATTTGCATATTCCTCTATAATTAGTATAGATTACAGGCTTATGAGTTGATTAATAATATATCAGACACATAGTAATTAATATGAGCCAGGTTATTTCCTAATTGCTTTGTAAATATATTAGCTCATTCAATCTTTATATAACACTAGAGGCCCAGTGCACAAAAATTTGTGCACTCGGGGGGGGGGGGTCCCTCAGCCCGGCCTGTGCCCTCTCCCAGTCTGGGACCCCTCGGGAGATAACGACCTGCTGGCTTAGGCCTGCTCCCGGGTGGCAGAGGGCAGGACTAATCCCTAGGTGCAGCCCCTGGTCAGGCTCAGAGCAGGGCCAACTGGGGAGTTGGGGCGCCGCCCACTGTCATGCACAGATCAGGGCGGATTGGGAGGTTGCGATGCCACCCTCAGTCACGCTCAGGGTAGGGCCGATTGGGGGGTTGGGGCACCGCCCCATCACACTGAAGGCAGGGTCGATGGGGAGATTGCGGCGCCACCCCCTGTCACGCACAGAGCAGGGTCAATCAGGGTGTTGGGGAGCTCCCCCCTGTCACGCACAGAGCAGGGCCCATCAGGGGGTTGGGGAGCTCCCCCCTGTCACGCACAGAGTAGGGCCGATAGGGGAGTTGGGGCACTGCCCCCTGTCACACACAGATCAGGGAGGATCAGGGGACTGGGGCACCGCACTCTATCACCCACAGAGCAGGGCCAATCAGGGGGTGGGGCACCGCCACTGTCACACTCAGGGCAGGGCCGATGGGGAGGTTATGGCTCTACCTCATCACACACAGAGCAGGGCCCGTGGGGGGCGGGGGGGTTGGGGCGCCACCCTCTATCACCCACAGAACAGGGCCGATCAGGGGGTTGGGGTGCCGCCACTCTCACACTCAGGGCAGGGCCGATGGGGAGATTATGACTGTACCCTGTCACACACAGAGCAGGGCCTGTGGGGGGGGGGGGGGGTTGGGGCACCGCACCCTGTCACACACAGAGCCGCAGGGCCTATCGGGGTTGGGGAGCTTCCCCTATCAACCACAGAGCAGGGCTGATCAAGAGGTTGGGGTGCCTTCCCCTGTCAGGAACAGAGCAGGGCGGATAGGGAAGTTGTGGCCCCGCCCCCTGTCACACACAGAGCCGCAGGGCGATCAGGGGGTTTGGGCACTGCCCCCTGTCACGCTGATCCCAGTGCCGGGAGGTCTCGCGGCTCTGCTGATCCCAGTGCTGGGAGGCATATTACCCTTTTACTATATGGGATAGAGGCCTGGTGCATGGGTGGGGCTGGCTGGTTTGCCCTGAAGGGTGTCCTGGACCAGGGTAGGGGTCCCCACTGGGGTGCTTGGCCAGCCTGTGTGAGAGGATGATGGCTGTTTGCAGCTGGTCACACACCCTTCAGGGTGGGGGTCCCCAGTGGGGTGCCTGGCCAGCCTGGGTGAGGGGCTGAGGGCTGTTTTCAGGCTGGTGGGTGACGGAAGCTTCCAACTGCTCCTTTTTTTCTTTTTTCTTTTTTATTCTGGGCCAGCTTTAGCTCTGGCTCCAGCTCTGAGGCCTCTGCTGGATTCTATAATCGAAACAATGTATAACTCCAGCTCTGAGATCCCGGCTCGCTGAAAGCAGGTTTCTGGGGTTTTGTTTAGCTTCTATATTTATTACAATGTTTCAAACTGCAGGCTCAGAGGCCGGCAAGGCAGGCGGGGAACGTTGGAGTCCTCCGTCACTGAAGCAAGCAAGCCTCATGTTCGCTTCCAGCTGCCTGGCTGCCGGCCCCCATCTTGGCTGGTAGTTAATTTGCATATCGCCCTGATTAGCCAATGGGAAGGGTAGCGGTTGTACACTAATTACCATGTTTCTCTTTTATTAGATAGGATGATTATAAAATACAATATGATTATTATTGTCCTCTTTTTATAGAGGTTAGCAAGGTCATTTAGTGACCTTGAATTAGGATGTAGGCCAGAACAATTTAAACCCCCTACCATCTATGTTCTTAACCATTATGCTTCACTGTTTTACTTTAAACTGTGCAAGATTTTCATATCCTTTATGAGATTTTCTTGGTGAGTATTCCAGTGATCACTTATCTAAAGTTTTTTTAATTTTTATTTCTTTGTTAATCCTCAACAGGATATTTTTTTTATTTATTTTTTGAGTGAGTGGAAGGGAGAGCTGAGGGGAAGAAAAGGAGAGAAATATTGATGTGAAAGAAGCACATCACTTGGTTGCCTCCTGTACCCAGGTACGTTCCCTTGATTGGAATTGATTCTGAGACCCTTTGGTGCATGGGCTGACAGTAGTGCCATTGAGCCACACTGACCAGGGCTAAATAATTTTTTTTTTAATGTTGTTTTATATCTGCCTTCTCCAGCTTCTAAAATATCAAGAATTTAGTAGAAAAATTGCTAGGTTACAGTTTACCTTATTTTTAAAAATTATACTAAAATTGCCAATAAATAGTAAAAGGAAAAAGAGTAGAATAAAATTTTGAGACTCTAAAAATCAGATAGTTTCTATAGCTTGGGGCAGGGTGAAAGGAGCAAATGGGGTAGCTAAATGGGGGACATCTGTAATAGAGTCAGCAATAAAATGAGAATTACACAAGTGCTCACTTCAGCAGCACATATCCTAAAATTGGAACAATACAGAGATTAGTATGGCATACAAATTGTGAAGCGTTTCATTTTATTTTTTTTTTGGTAAACTTTAGAAAGAAAGAAATCCAACAAATTTCAATCATTAAAAAAAGAGTTACATGAATTTGGCTAAGAGCTTAGTAAATTGGATTTCACTTTTATTATTCTATCCATAGAGTGTATATTATTTTTAAACATTAATTTATTGTTCTCTTCTCTTTCTTTTTTTTAGTACACTGTGTGGAATTTTGTTCCAAAGAATTTATTTGAACAATTCAGAAGAGTGGCAAATTTTTATTTTCTTATTATATTTTTGGTTCAGGTAAGCTTTATCATTCAATAGATCGTTAAATTTATAGATAAAATTTCTAAAAATACGTTGTCAGTTACATAGCGTTCTAAATTATTTGCTTTTGGGGTGATATTTTTTTTCTGCAGAGCTTACCCATCATATTCAATGAATACAATTATTTAACCACATCTAAATTTCTAAAAACTAGCCAGTGAATTTTAAGATTAATTTTATTTCATTTTATTGATATGCTGTGGTGCTGATAACCATAATCAAAGCCAAGAAAATAACATCATCTTTAAGATGCTCGTTCAGAACATAAATATTTTGGGTTTTAATATGCAGCACATGTTTTTGACACATTTTTGCCTATAGAGCCATCTTGGTACAAAGTGAATTTTTCTTTTTTCTTTAATGTCAATTTTACTTTTATTTAAAATAATTTTCTTTTTTCATTTTTAACAATCCTCATGAAAATAGATTTTTGTTTAGGAGACCATTTTTTTAACTTGAACCAGTATTAAGTATAGGCTATTTAACAGTTTCTTAATCTCACATTGCTTTTTTTTCTTAATATCAAAATATCAAGAGAATAGCTTATGAAACTTGAGTATGAATCAATATTTAAAAATAGTTATTACTATTTTCTTTTAAAAAGATAATTTTTTTCTGATAATACTTTAGCAGTCTCTTCCAGTGTGGCATTGAATTTTCGTATGAACCCTGAACTTTTCTCTCAGTAGAACCTAGAATTTCAAAAGAAAAAAAACACTTGCCAAGTTATTACTTTAAAGCTTGAGGAAACATTTACTATTTTCTAAAAATTGCTTTTCTTCATGAACAAAGAAGAAACTTCTGATTTTTTTTTTTTAATCAATAGAACATCAACTTGGTTTTCTCAGAAATGTGAGAAATTTATACTAACCGTGTCACCTAACATGCGTTTGTGAAATTACCAGCTAAAATCAGGAATTCAGCTTCTCTGTGGAATAGAACAAATTTAATTGTCCTCTGTGGTGTAAAGGAACATTAATAGTAAATTATTTAGAGTCATATTCTAACTAGCAAAACATAATTAGTGCAGAAATTTCTTTACTTCTCCAGCAGCTTTTAAAACCTCAGTTGTATGATGTACATAATAATTGCAGCATCATTTTCCAAGCTGTACCCTTTCTGGTTCTGCTAGATTTAACAAAATCATTTATGGAAGAAAAACTCTTTCTCTAGTCCCATTCCTTGCTCTGTCTCCCTAAGTAGTGAGTTTCTTCTGAATCCCAGCGTAAAAATTACTGACAGACTTTTCAGCATTTATCAGGATGGGCGAAGAAGTGTGAAATGAGATTCAGAGCAGCTGTAGCTCCGCTCCTTGGCAAATATTGAGGAAGAACTGAAGTACTCTCTGTTTAGAAGGCAGATAAATGACTGAGTCTACTCTAACAATATTTGTGGGTATCCAGTAGATTTAGATATTCTAACCCCATATAAGAGCCAATAAAGTGAACTTGTAAAACTGAATTAAATTATCCTCACTGTATAATATGTCCCTCCTATTATTTTTACTCTGGACTATGATACTCATTTTGTATAGTGTTCTCAGAATTCCTAGTATGTTTGAGATTTAAGATAGCATGATATGTACAATATAAAAATATAATATTATGCATTCTTTTTTTTTAAATGCAGCTTATGATTGATACACCTACCAGTCCAATTACCAGTGGACTTCCATTATTCTTTGTGATAACAGTAACTGCCATAAAACAGGTATGAATTGCTTCCTATTCTTGTTTCCCCATGTCATTTGCAAGTTGCTAAATATGTCCACTCCAAGGTAACATCTATTGTTGAGAAAATAATTTCCATAAGAAAGCAGCAAATGTTTTTGATGTTGCATATGATAAAAATAAACTGAGTTAAGCCACACTATTATATTTCAGGTGATTCATGGTATGTTTACCACTGTTAAAATGTTGTTCTCTTGACATACCCAGGAAGCGTTCAAAACAAGCATTTTATATGTATAAACCAAATTATATATGAAACATAATTATTATAATCATCTTTGTAGAGTTTGGCAATATTTCAAAGAAATACAGTTCTAGCTGATTTGGCTCAGTGGATAGAGCATCAGCTTGAGGACTGAAGGATCCCAGGTTCGATTTCAGTCAAGAACACATACCTTGGTTGCAGGCTACATCCTCGGCCCTGGTCAGGGAGTGTGTGGGAGTCAACCAATTGATGTGTCTCTGCAATAGATGTTTTTTTCTCTCTCTTTCCATCCCTTCCACTCTCTCTAAAAAATAAATGGAAAAATATCCTCAGGTGAGAATTAACAAAAAAAGAAAAGAAAATACAATTCAAAATGGATATGTTTATGGGGAGTGGAGCATGTACTTCTAGCATGAAGATCCTATATCATAAAAGGCTAATATGCAAATCAACCAGACAGCTGAACGACCAGTCGCTGTGACGTTCAGTGACCATCAGGAGGCAGATGCTCAACACAGGAGCTTCCCCCTGGTGGTCAGTTCACTCCCCCAGGGGGAGCGACACTCAGCCAGAAGCCCTGAGCCGGGCTCACAGCTGGCGAGTGCAGTGGTGGTGGTGGGAACCTCTCCCACCTCCATGGCAGTGTAAGGATGTCTGACTGATGGCTTAGGCCTGCTCCCTGAGTCTCCCGGACTGTGAGAGGGCACAGGTCAGGCTGAAGGATACCCTCCCCACCCCCTGAGTGCACAAATTTCATGCACTGGGCCTCTAGTTTTAAATAAATGTGTAGTGCTTTCCTACTTGTTACACTTTCTCTGGTTAAGTTGATTTTTATGTAAAGTTGTACCCTAGTGGGAAATAGCTTCAACCAACTCCTGAATTGGTATTAAATTCTAGATATAGAAAAGAAGATTATTATTGGATGAACATGTCAAGTTAGAAATAAAGGAATCTGTAGAAAGGTCATGTCTTTATAACTACCATTTCTCTAAAGATCTTGGCAGGACCTCAGTTATACAGAGATTGTTCCTTCCACTTGAAAGAGAGTTAGTTGAATTTTCTTATGTAAATTTGATAAATTTTCATTTTATAAGATTTAGGGATAAGGTTTAAATTGCTTTGGAAGTAAAATTGACAAACATTTTATAATCTGAAATGTAGTATATTTTAACAATTACGTTATATATCTAGGATGTCGGAATATCATGCTACTGCTCTCACTGTTTGATTTTCCTTTAGTGTTCTTTTGGAAATTGTCAGTCAGCATTCAAATCACTTCATATGGTCACATATTTACTTGGTTTTGCAGATCTCATTTATTTCATCAGAGTAACACAGATTTGTCCCTTGGACCTATTTTCTGTATGTAGTTCCCTTTTAGGTAATTTCATTTATGGTAGTGGCTTAAAGTACCATTTATATGTTAATGGTTCCCAAATATATATGTATCCTGAATCTATTGCCTGAACTCCGACACTCATGTACAGCTGTGCAACTTTTCCACTGGGATAGCTTGGGCTTTTCCTGACCATGCCATTCTCTCATTTCTCCTCTGGTCTTTTTTCTTCCTATCATTTGGTGCTACCTGTTTCTGTTGAATAAATGTTTATTTGTTTGTCTGTTGCCTTCATTTGAATATTCAGCTCTGTGAGGGCAGATACTTTGTTTTATAAACCAGTTTATTTCTAGTGACCAGAACAAGGTCATGCTCTGATTATATCTCCAATAAATAATTTGCTTGACAGATAAATGAATGAATGAATGAATGAAGCTATTGAGTATTTTTTTGAAGTAATTTAAAATGTTGCAGTACTTCTTACCCTGGTTTCCCAATCTACACTATTAAAAGACAAACATGCAAATTGACCGTACCTTCACTATGCCTTAAGCCACACCCACCAGCCAATCAGAGCGACTATATGCAAATTAACCCAACCAAGATGGCAGCTGGCAGCCACGGAGCTGGAGCAAGCAGGAGGCTTGGTTGTCCCAGTGATGGAGGAACCAGCCAGCCCCCACCCGTGCACCAGGCCTCTATCCTATATAATAAAAGGGTAATATGCAAATTGATCCTAACAGCAGAACGACTGGGAATGACTGGTCACTGTGACACACACTGACCACCAGGGGACAGATACTCAATGCAGGAGCTGTCCCCTGGTGGTCAGTGCGCTCCCACAGGGGGAGCTCTGCTTAGCCACAAGCCAGGCTGATGGCTGCCAGCACAGTAGTGGTGGCGGGAGCCTCTCCCACCTCCTCAGCAGCACTAAGGATGTCCGACTGCAGCTTAGGTCTGCTCCCTGCTGGTAAGTGGACATCCTCCAAGGGCTGCTGGGCTGCCAGAGGGATGTCTGACTGCCAGCTTGGGCCCGATCCCCCAGGGAGCGGGCCTAAGCCAGCAGGTGGACATCCTCCAAGGGGTCCCAGACTGCAAGAGGGCATAGGCTGGGCTGAGGGACCCCCCCAAGTGCACAAATTTTTGTGCACCAGACCTCTAGTGTTTATATATTTGGCCTAATATAGCCTGGGTTTATTTGGAATGTGATGCCATTAACCAAATTGAAAAATGCTGATAAAAATCTGCAAAATAGGAATGTGATGCCATTAACCAAGTTGAAAAATCTGAACAAAATCTGCAAAATAGAACTTAAATATATTTGTTATTATTGACATCCTGTCTCCTTTTAGAATGGGTTAAATAAAAACACGTAATATAGAAAGCAGAAAGATTATACCTCAAACCTGTGTTACAGTGGTTGACGTAGTTAAGTCCTAAATTTACATGAGAGCTTCTTGACAACTAAAGCAAAAGCAGAAATATGAAAGGTCATAATTTCAAAGAGAAAATTTGATATATAAGGATTTTTTCCCTTTACAACATCAGGATTCAGAGTTTTCTCTTTTCTAACAACTATTCCTACATTATGTTCATTTAATAGCACACAACATATTAGAATATACTGTTCAGGTTTATCTGCCCATTCGTATAGATCAGTAGAATAAATTTTAGAAAAATTGTACGAATGCAAGTTGCCATGTCCAGTCTTTCCTTTTTCTTTCCTTTTAGTCTGCCTTTGTCCTTTGTCCTTTGTCCTTTTATCAAAATAAGAAAAGCTATATTATCAGTTTTTATACTCTGAGTAAAGATGTTAGTTTTCTTGTTTTTTTAACTTCTCCCAACCATACTTGCATATTAAAGGTTTTTTTAGTTATGTAATGCAAGGTGTAGTGCTGTGGTAAACATCATAGTCTTTGCCTTCTGTGAGCATAAAACTTATGAAGTAGGGAAGATAAACCCAAACACAAAAGCAGTTATAGTTCAATAAGGTAGTGGTCAGACCCAGTGAGCTGTAGATGTTCAGAGAAAGGATGCAACACTGTCTGGATAATCAAAGAGGGTTTCATGGAAGAAACATTTTTAGAGATGAGACTTGGAATAAGAGTAAAATGACAATTGGTGAAAAAGGTAAAGTATCGACAAACAACTTACGGAAATTCCCAAATGTAGAAAAGGCAAGACCTTTTTTGTGAAATGACATGGCTGACTAATGTTTGACACTATGTAGGAAAGTACTAAAAAGTAATACTGGAAATGTAGCTTGGTAAGTTAATCAGGCTAGAAGATTCTTTGGTCTAAACATCGGAGAGTTATTGAGGGGGCTTTGAACAGGATAGCGAATTAAAACAATGTTTTAGAAAGATTAATCTGGCAGTAATATGTTGGATGGATTAAAATTTGTGAACTTGTGTTATAAATGATAATGTTTTTATTATTAATGTCATCTGGCTATAAAAGGAACTATGTTTTTTGACAGTTTCAGAAAAAAAAGTTTTGACCCTCCATTAAATTTCTTTAAAATTGGCATACCACATCTTCAGTGGGGCCAGCATAATTTTTTTTTTTTTAGAGAGAGAAAGAAACATCGATTTGTTGTTCCACTTATTTATGCATTCATTGGTTGATTCTTGTATGTGCCCTGACCAGGAATCAAACCGGCAGCCTTGGCATATCGGGATGATGCTCTAACCAACTGAATTATCTGGCTAGGGCTGCATCATTTAAATACTTTAAGAATGGTTTCACAAAAGGTTTCTCCCTGAAAAAATATCTTGAAGTAATTTTTAATATTTGCTTTATATGTTATAGTGTTCTAATATTTTTAGGTAATAGATGCACATGTTTTGAAAAATAGAAAGTACAAAATCTCATATAATAAAAGTCATTTATACTCCTACCACCACCACCCCCACCCCGTCTCCTGGTTCTCCTCCCCTGAGGGAGCCATTATTTGTACATTAGTCCAGATATTGATACAGAGTGTTTTCAAAGGTAAGCATTTTTTCCCCACAAATGTTAGCATAGAACACAACACATTCTGTTCTTTTATCACTTAATGCTATCAGATACCATTTTGTTATCTTGTGTTATACCTCTGAGTTCTTGAATTTTCTTTGAAATAACACAACACGTCCACTTAGTCTTTGTGAAATGCTTATGTCTGTTTCTCTTTTTAATGATGATCCACATACCCTACCATATTTTTTGGAAGTACAAATAATAATTCTATTGGTTAGTGTTTAAGAAAGTAAAATAATTCAACATCAGTTTTAAAATGTGTTCTCTTTTCTATTTATTGTCTGTAATAATGCTGTATGAATTTTTGTATATATACTAGAGGCCTGATGCATGAAATTCATGCAAGAGTCGGCCTTCCTTGCCCTGGCTGCCGGCACCAGCTTCCCTATGGCACCCGGGGCCTGGGCTTCCCTCGCAGCCCCAGCTTCTTCCGGAAGGTGTAGCATTTTATGCTTTTATTATTATAGATATATTTAGAGAGAAGAAGGAGGGAGAGAGAAACATTGCAAACCTCTTGCACTCACCAAGTCTAGGGTTCTCATTAGAAATCGAACCTGCCACCATTTGGTATATGGGACGATGCTCCAACCGACTGAGCCACATCAGACTGGCTGCATAAATTTATATTTTATGTTTAAAATATCATTTGTATGTAGAAGCAACAGAACTTATTGATTGACTAGGTGTTAAAGAAAGGTAGGAATAAAAATGTGACTCCCCAGATTTCTAGTATGAGCAGCTTAGTAGATGGTGATGTCATTTGTCAAGATGGATAACATTGAAAATGCAACAGATTTAGAAGATAACATCATAGGTTTAGTTTTGAAATGTTCAATATATTAGATATCATAATGGAGATATTAAGAATACAGTTGGATATTCAAGTTTAGAATCTAAAAGAAAGATGTGAACTGGAGATATAAATTTCAGAAATTTTTGAAGACCACAGGTATACAAGAAATCTTGTAGCGAGAAAGTGAAGGGTGAAAAAAGGGCCCATAAAGATGACAGAAGGAGGCTTTCATAAGGAAATTGAGAAAGATTAACGGAGAGATACTGTGAAAATAAGAAAAATGTATGTAATGAAACCAAGTTTTTATGAGTATATGCATCAAAATAGCCTAATATAATTCTGGTGAATCAAATGTTTGGGGGCGATTTTTATGTTTCTTTTTCTCATTTGATAAAAATATCTTCTAATTAGGTGAAGAGATTAGCCAAAGAACATATATTCATAGCCCATGGACACAGACAATAGTGTGGTGAAGGACAGGGGAGTTGGGGGGGAGGGGCTGGGTAGAGATGGGCAAAGGAGAGGATAGGGGACATCTGTAATAGTGTCAACAATAAAAAATATATCTCCTAATTATACTAAAAAGGGCACATTTTTATTCTTTTGACATTTACAGGGGTATGAAGATTGGTTACGACATAACTCAGATAATGAAGTAAATGGAGCTCCTGTTTATGTTGTTCGAAGTGGTGGCCTTGTAAAAACGAGATCAAAAAACATCCGGGTATGCATTTAGTAAATAATGTATATCAATTATATTTTGATGTCACAAACTTTAATCTGATTAATTTTATTAAAAGCCTGCTTTTCTACATTAAAATATTGTGATAGACTACTTGTTTAGAACCCAATTAGTCCTTGCCTTTTAAAATTGGTATATTCACTCTCCCCAAAATTCTTCATAGGTGGGTGATATTGTTCGAATAGCCAAAGATGAAATCTTCCCTGCAGATTTGGTGCTTCTGTCCTCAGATCGACCCGATGGTTCTTGTCACATTACAACTGCTAGTTTGGATGGAGAAACTAACCTAAAGGTTTGTATGTGTATAAAATGTCTTTGGATTATAGTGATATTTTCCTTTGGTTAAGGTAATAAAATTTGACCTGATAAAGGCGAAATATTTTTAAATTACTGAAAATTTTAAGAATCACTAAGTTTTTTAAAAGAAATAATGTTTTATATTTATTTCAAGGGTAGCCTCACATGGTTTAGTCAAGTTAAAGAAAAATGGGAAGTGTTTTTAGGAAAAATAAAATATTTTAATATTTTGGTGTTTTTTTTAGTTAAGGGAGGTTTGAAATAGATGAGGCTATAAAGTACAGCATAGGGACTATATATGTATATATGGTGCCAGATGGTTGCTAGATTATCAGAGGGGGTCACTTAGTAAGTTATATAAATGTCTAATCACGGTTGTACACCTGATTATATTACAATTTATGTAATATTGTACGTTTACTGTAAATAGATGATATGTAGGGTTCCATTTAGATCTTGAAAGTGCAGTTTAATCCTTGTTGTTTTTTTCAGACTCATGTGGCAGTTCCAGAAACAACAGTATTACGAACAGTTGCTAATTTGGACACTCTTGTAGCTGTGATAGAATGTCAGCAACCAGAAGCAGACTTGTATAGGTATGGTGTGATGGTCAACCTACTCATTTTAAGTCCTGTTTACAGATCTCATTTTTACCATCATAAACATGCAATGAAATTAGCTAATTAAAGACATTATTGAAGAGGAGGTAGTTGAGAGATACATTAAAGGGAAAAAAGGCTAAAGCAGAATTTGCCAGAATTCTAATCCAAAGTGTTAATTCCAAAACAGTGCACTTTTATTCAGACATTTCTTTCCATTACTTTCTATTTCTATATGAACTGGCTTTATCACTATAATAGGAAATTTTATAACAATAATAGTAGTTATAGGAGAAGTAAGATTAATATTTTTTTGATCCTCACCTGAGGATATTTTTCCATTGATTTTTTAGAGAGAGTAGAAAAGAGAGGGAATGACAGAGAGAAATATCGATGTGAGAGAAACACAATGAATGGTTGCCTCCTGCACAAGTCCCAACCAGGGCCCAGGGCTAGGGAGGACCCTGCAACTGATGTATGTGCCCTCGACTGGAATCAAACCTAGGACCCTTTGGTCTGCAGGCCAATGCTCTATTCACCGAGCCAAACTGGCTAGGGCGAAGTAAGTTTATTTCGTTAGAAGAAAAGAACTCTGTATACACGTACTCTATGAAGGCAAGGGCTCTGTCTTTGTGTTCACTTAGAATGAATTCCTTTTCATGTTGTGATTTACTAAATACAGTGTAAGTCATCTTCCAGTGATATACTAATTATTGTGGGCTGTGAAATAGGAACAACTTTTTATTATTAAAGTGATATACTAAACTCACTTTTACTCAGTAACTGATGTTAAGTGGGGGATGGTATTACCAACAGTATTTAAGGTATGGTCCCATTTTTGTTGTTAAGATACATATTTATCTATATGTGTATGGAAAAAAGCCTGGAAAACATATCCCAAAATAATAGCAGTGTTTGTATCTGAGTGGTGGGATTACCTGTAATGGTATTTCCTTTTTGATATCCTTTTTATATTTTCTGAATCATTTTATGAAATGTGTGTGTTTGAGTGTATATCTATATATATAAAAGCCTAAGGCTACATAAAATCCATTAAGTGGAGATTTAAAAAAAAAAACGAAAATACAGCAGTGCATTTCCCTGATACAGACAGTTGAATGAAGCAGAAGTAAGAGATTAGCAAGAAACAATGAAGCCAAAGGGATAAACCATCTGTGACCTGGAAACAGGAGGAATAATAGGGGACATTGAAAGGGAATGCTTAATATTGCCTTGCCTAGTTAAATGATTAACATGAAGCTCTGTCTAGAATTTGCTTCAACTCAAAATTTACTTCTCACTGTAGTAGAAAATAATTGTTCATTTGAATTGACTGTGCTATGGAGCTGTTTAAGTAGTGGAATTTGGAACTGAAAGGCAGGTTATGAAAATTCATTGATAACAAGCCACCTATTCTAGAAGCTTTGGAGTTCACTGATAGGTTTTTGCTTACTACTCTATTCCCACCGCTTAATTCACACATAGTAGTTGCTCAATGAATATTTGTTGGATGAATGAATGCATGAATAAGTAAATGAGTGATTCTAATCACAGGAAAATAAACTGTGATGAAATATGTGAGCATTCATTGTTGGCTAAATAATGTATACTTATGTAGTAAATATAAATTCTCATGATGATAAAACTAATAATGGTATAATATATAACATTTATATCACCATTTTTAAAACATTTTTACATTCATTACCTCATTCATAGCTGGAGTGGGATGGCAAGAATTGTTAGAGCTTAATGACTGGTAAATATTGATTTTTATAATTTCTAACATAATGATTGGACCATTCATAAAAAGAAAAGGTTGGTTTGTTTCATGTATAAGAATAGTGCCAAAAGTATCTAAAATTTTCCACTTATTGATGTCATAAGTAACACATATTTGGTTTTTTTTTAACATGGTGAATTCTTTGATAGATTCATGGGACGAATGATAATAACTCAACAAATGGAAGAAATTGTAAGGTAAGAACAAAATCACATTATTTGGGGGAGGGACTAAAATCAAGTTAAAGAAATATTAGATAAGTTTCATATAATGTAAAAGGGTTCACTTGAAAGCACTTAGCACTTTATCTTCTAGTTATGTATAGCAGCAACAAGTGTGGGTGAAGCAATTTCATGAAGTAATATCAAAATAATTTAGTAAGATTATTTATATACTTGTATTTTTTTCTAATAATATCAGGTAGTAACATAAAAGGAAACATAAACATTCTTATTCAAATCCTTACCCACTACTTAAAGTCTAGAATACAAGAAATGTTTTCTATAATGTTTAACAAGTATAAGTGTTACAGACTTCTTCATTTCAAAATCATTTAACACAAACTAGAGTACTTAGTGGCCAATCCAGAACCTCTTATTTACTCTTCTGATTGGTTTTTTGTTTGGTTGATTGTTTTGTTTTCCCTCTATATTAAGGTTAATTTCTGGCTGCTGCATGAAAGGACTTGAGCTCATTTCAAAGATTTGCTAATAGGATGAGATTACATTGTTACTCATGACCATAAAGCCAAATTTAAAATAAACCTTGGAATGGTCCCTTGAACTTCTAAATCAAATCACCTTTTTTCTGGAGACATATTCAGTTAAACTGGCTGCTTGAAATAAGTCACTGACAAAGAGTTGAGCATTTCTTAAAATGAAATCCTCAAGTCAAGCCACCAAAACTATCATGCATCAGCACTGATTCACATTTTTAATAAACATTAACACAGGAGCATGTTCAATGAACTCTTTAGCCATGGTCTTTGCTGAAGCAACCAGAGTTTGCTGATGAACTGCCTTTTAATTCAAAGCTTTCTATCATTATATCCCAATTTTATATGCCAGTGTGAGTGCAAAGTTTTTCTATTCATTGTTAAAACCAGTACCACGTGAAAAGGAGCTGTTTTATGGCTTCTGGTTAATAGATTTTGGAATATCCATGTAGTGTGCTCCAAATATGACTCAATATTAAAACCATACTTGTTAACCATGTCCCAAACACCTGGTCCTCTTTGGTTCATTGATTTTTTAGAGTGTTTGGGTTTGTAGACATCTTGGTTCCAATTCTGTTTGATTTGGATGACTGTGTATGTATATTTCAGAAAAGCATAAGGAATCTCAACAAAATTAAGACTTTTTAACTTATCCATAACAGAGTCTATCATTTTGCTATCACTAAAAAAGTACAATTTCCTTTCTAGTTATTCCTTCTCATTTTATATCTCCTTTATGGAGAGAAATTCAAACAGCAAGAAGACCTGAGCTCCAAGAAGTTTGCAATGCAAGTAGTAAAGTTGTAGTGTCAATCTTGCCTACAAAAGTACTAACTCACTTACTACATAATGTTTTATAAACCAAAGTAATTTTAATTGTGCAGAGCTTATGCATTTACACACAAATCATGCTACAGTTCTTATTTACGTTGCATTTTAATTCTCTATTTTCTTTGAAAACTGTTTATTAATTTTGCTCAAAATTTTCATCCTCTATTAAACATTTAAAAATCATTGCTTAATCTTTTATTTTGTTGTGTTTTGTTTAAAATTTTTGTAACTGGTCTGGTGGATTTATGAGTTTATTTACCATCATAATCTTATTTCTGAGCCACCGATCTTAAAGTAACTGAAATGCTAAAGCAGTTGTTTTTGTTATAGTAACTAACATTATGATTGACCTAAATAGTAGCTAAGATTTTGGTTCTATATAAAAGCAGTGTTGTAACAATAACTCAGGTACTTTCTGCTAAAGATGCTGTTTTAGAATTTAATTAAATGTTTAATATATTTAATGCTTTTGTTTTTTTGTGTGTTTTTCACTAGACCTCTGGGGCCAGAGAGTCTCTTGCTTCGTGGAGCCAGATTAAAAAACACAAAAGAAATTTTTGGTTTGTATATGTTGAAAGTTTTTAATTATAGATTCATGTTGATACTTTATGAAGTATTTCTAAAAGCACAGCATTTGTGTTCTTTTGGTTGGGTAACTTGTTATTTAGTTACATATTGCCTGTGATAATTTTCTTACAAAGATTGTGTTAATATAATTTTGGTTGTAGTTTTTGTTATTAATCTCTATCTTTGAGTAATAGACTAGAACCTTACTCTTATATTTTCTTTGTTGATACTTGTGAAACTGAGTGGTAAGAAGATAATTCTGGCACTTCTTTCTATTCATGGTGAATGACAACCAATATAATCTGGCATTGTGGTATAGTAAACCACCTGTGTAATCCTATTGTGATTATTCTTAGATTGGATGAATAAAACTGCTGACTCATTCATTCATTCAACAAATTCTTATTAATATGACTATATACCAGGTACTGTTGAAACGTATACTGACTGGATCAAAAGAATGAATAAATAATGTTCCTGCATTGAAGATTTATTAATTAATCAGTTAATTAATTAACTTATTCTCTGAGTCAATTTTAGGCAAATTGTGAAATCATTGATAATCTTTAGCTGTCAACTAGTTCTTCCCTCTTCAGAAATGGCCCTTCATATACTAGCCAGCTTGTTCTTTACTGAATGTTTACAGCTTTTGGGGTGTGTCCTCTTCCTCATTCTCTTCTTTCATCTGTCTTATCTCTCAGTATTAGGCTCTCTGATAAAGAAGTCCATATACTTTTTTTAAAAATGGAAAGTAACAAATGTTGGTAAGGATGTGGAGAAATTGGAACCCTCATACATTGCTGGTAGGAGTGTAAATGTTGCAACTGCTGTGGAAAACAGTGTGGCAGTTTCTTAGTAAGTTAAATTCAGGATTACCATGTGACCCAACAGTTCTACTCCTAGATATATACCCCAAAGAACTGAAAATAGATCTTCAAACAAAGACTTCTTTAGAATGTTCATAATAGCACTATTTACAATCATCATAGAGTAGAAACTGTCCACATGTTCATCAACTAATGAATATATAAAAAAAAATGTAGGATATCCACATAATGGAAAATTATTTACTATTAAACAAATGAAAACATTATGCTGAGTGAAAGAAGCTGGACACAAATGTCACATATTGTAGGATCCCATTTACTTGAAGTACCTGGAATGGGCAAATTCATAGAGACAGAAAGTAGATTAATGGGTTGGGTAGTGGAGGGGAATGGGACTGATGCTTAATAGGTACAGGGTTTTCTTTGGGAGTGATGAAAATGTTCTCAAGTTAGATAGTGAGGATAGTAGCACAATATTGTGAATATACTAAGTGCCACTGAATTGTACATTTTTAAATGATTAAAATGATAAATTGTATGTTACGTATATTTTACCACAATCTCAGAAGAGAAAACTATAATAAATGTTCTGATGGCAAAAGCCAAAGAAAACCTCCAAGCTTTAGACCCTCTCATGTAATGCTGTATTTTAAAACATCTCTCTAGCATTAAAACCTTTCACGCTCTTAAAAGATGTGTATTTGAATGCCTTTAGGATGGGTCTGCTATTGTTTGCCTCAGTACCACTTCTCTCTATTGTATAATTCTGGCTGATTTCTATAATTTTGGTGCCATTTGAGTTATAAGTTCTGCCTTTATGGAATAATTTTAATGGTGAAAATTCCAGGACAAATCTTTAGGAAGAGGGCATGATGAATCCTACACTGCTTCTCAAATCTCACTATTTAGGCATGGGTGTAAACATTTATTGATTATCTGTTTCTAGGCATTTTGCTAACTTGTCATACAAACCGCACAAAAATTTTATGAGGTACTAGAGGCCTGGTGCACGAATTTGAGCACAGGTGGGGTCCTGCTGGCCCTGCCCCTGATCGGGGGTGTGGGGGGGGGGCGATCAGGGGTGGTTGTCCAGCTGGCCCCACCCCCTGGTCGAACTCCCGGTCAAACTCCTGGTCAAGGGGACAATTTGTATATTGGCCTTCTATTATATAGGATATTTTTCCACTCTAAAGGTGGAGAAATTAAGATTCAGAGATTAAATAACTTCCCCAAGGACGTAGAACTAGTAAGTGGCAGAGCTAGCATTCAAACCAAGGTCTAATTCCAACAAAGTATTTTATAAGCCTGGTTTTACCTAATTTCATTCACCCCCAGTTTTAATCCCATTATTACTGTCATTCTCGCTAATTTCATAGTCATTCACATTGGCACGAATTTTTTTAAATAGCCCATTCCTTGTGTTTATTTACCCTGATAGATTTTCATATTATCACTCCAGTGCTTATGAAATTATGTCTAGTGGTCCAGATTCTGGCATTCAGGGGTTTTCAAACTCTGATCACAATCTATTGTTCCATCTGAACAGAAAGTACTTTTCCATTTCTGTCTTTGTTAACACTGTTTGCTCTATCTATAGTGTTTTCCCAAATCCTTTTTCTCTATCAATTTCAACTGAGATAGTATCTCATTCTTATATCTCAGTTATAACTCAGAAACAGAGCCTCCATGCCTTCCTCATCCAGTAGGTTGAGTAATTAGAGTTCCCTAAAATGAGTATCAGAAAGCCTTTATAAAATTCAAAGAAAGGAAAGTCAGATTGTAACAGCTGTCAGACAATGCATTTTCCTAGATGCTTTCATGCTGGTGAGTACATTTTTCTTGTGAAACATACTAGGGCATTATTTTAAAGTACTATTTTGTTTTGTTTTGTTTTGCAGGTGTTGCTGTATATACTGGAATGGAAACAAAGATGGCGTTAAATTACAAGAGCAAGTCACAAAAGCGATCCACAGTAGAAAAGTAAGAAAACTTTTCATTTATTTGCATATAAATATGACTGTGGATGTGTATATAATTCATTATGTATAATTTTTTTGTGTATAAAAGTATATTTGACCCCTATATAATGTCAAATCAACACAGGATGATATCCCTGAGGATAGGGATGGTTTCTTATATTTTTGTATACATGTAGCATTTTGCACAATGTTTGGCATATAGTAGATGCCAAATTATGACTTTAAAATAAATATTATCTGATAATAATGGAAACACTTGATCAAACTAACCCTCCTGCAGATAACAGTGGTAAAATCTGGACAAAATATTTAAAAACACACACAGTAATTTTAAAGCTCTGGAGAGTGGCCCAAAAAAAGACAGAAACTGGCAAAGAATGTACTCTTGAAAGACAGTATCAACAAGGAGAAAAGTTTAAGAATGTAGCTTTTTTCCTGAGGGCACTCTCAAATTCACGGACTGCAAAAGGCTAACACACACACAGCAGGGGCAAATTATGAAATCATTGATATTAGGCTTTCTGATAAAGAAGTCCATATACTTTTTTTTAAAATGGAAAGTAACAAATGTTGGTAAGGATGTGGAGAAATTGGAACCCTCATACATTGCTGGTAGGAGTGTAAATGTTGCAACTGCTGTGGAAAGCAGTGTGGCAGTTTCTTAGTAAGTTAATACTAAATATGTTTCTAATAAACATATTTTTAAACTTACTTATTTATTATTTTTTAAATCCTCAAGAGCTCTAAACCTGCACATAAATTATTTCCATATTCTTGGCTGACTATTAGAACTATACATGTGCAGGGGAGACCCCAGTGGGCTTGACAATGAAACAGTAACGGTATGTACCAGCAAGCTGAAAGATCTGAGCAGAGAATTTTGCTGTTACCTGTTGCAGTGGAGATAGTGTTTGGTATTTGAACCTAGCCAAGTTAACTTCCTGCTAAAATTAAAAACCACACTCTTTGACGAACCTAAAAGGATACACTATGCAATCAAAAATAAGCAGATGTTAAGAAAATGTATCTTGTACTCAATAGAAAAAGCGCTCTGGTAACCACCGTACTGTTGTTTGTGTCGATGAGTTTCAGTTTTATATCCCATATGAGTGAGATCATATGGTTCTTAGCTTTTTCTGACTGACTTATTTCACTTAGCATGATAATCTCAAGGTTCATTCATGTTGTTGCAAATGGCAGTATCTCATGTTTTCTTATGGCTGAGTAATATTACATTGTATATATGTACACCATCTTCTTTGTCCAATCATCTATTTCTGAAGGACATTTTGGTTGTGTCTTGGCCACTGTGAATAATACTGCAATGAAAAGACGGGATGCATATATTTTGTGAATACATGTTTTCAAATTTTTTGGGTAGATACCCAGAAGAAGGATTGCTGAGTCATATGGTAACTCTATTCTTAATTTTTTGAGGAACTGCCACAATGTTTTCTCTAGCTGCTGTACAGTTTGCATTCCCACCAGTAGTGAACGATGGTTTTTTTTCTCCACAATCTCTCCATTCAACACTTGTTTTTACTTACCTTGATGACAATAGCCATTCTAAAAAGAAAAAATTTATAAACTTCCATGAATTTTAAAAGTTTTGCTCATCAGACTGTTCATTTAAGAAAAGGAGCAAGCATATTGTTTTGGAAGACAGTATTCTCAAAACATCTATATTATAAAAGGCCTGCGGCCCTAACACCGTAATGACCAAAGACCGGCACGGGTGGGCGGGGCTGCATGATTTCAAGTGCTGGGCTTCTAGAATATGTGATAAAGGACTTGTATCTAGAATAAATAATAATACATAGAAAGCTCCTATAAATCCATTTAAAAAAAAAAGAAAAACAGCCCAATGAAAAAAATGCGTAAAAGACTGGAACAGATACTTCACAAAGAAAATACACAAATGGCCAATAAGCACATAAAAATTGTTCATCAATATTTAATTATGAGAGAGATACAAACTAAAACTACAAAGTGATACCAGAACACACTGGAAATGCTGAAAATTAAAAGGACTAAAAGTTCCAAGTTTTAGCAAGGACCTGAAGCAACTGGATCTCTTCTAAATAATCTATGGATCAAAGAGGAAATCTCAAAGCACATTTTTAAAAATATCTAGAAGTAGGGAAAATACAGTGTGTTAAATTTTGTAGGATGCAACTAAAACGAAACAGAAGTAGTAGGTTATAAATAGGAAATTTATTATAGGAATTGGCTCACCTGGTTTATCTGTTTAAGACTTGATATGACTTAAATTGTGTTATTAACTTCATACCATCAACAGACTGACAATAAGATTCCTTGAATTCTGACAGAATTGAAAATAAATACTTCATAAAGTATTTGCGTAGGCCATGAGGCCCAACAACCTGCCTTCTGAAGCTGGAGAACTAGGAAAGTCGATGGTGTCATTCAGTCTGAGTCAAAGGCCAGAGAACCACGGGGCAGTGGGTATTACCTGGAATCCATATCCCTGAGAACCATGAGCCCTGCTAGCCCAGCTAAAAGAGAGAGAATTCACCCTACCTTCACCTTTTTGATCCATTTGGGCCCTCAATGGATTAGATGATGCCTGCCTACCTTGGTGAGAGCATATCTCTTTAAGTCTACTGAATCAAATACTAATCTCTTCCAGAAACACCATCACAGACACACTCATAAATGGTGTTTTACCAGCAATATGGGCCTCTCTTAGTTAGCCCAGTCAAGTTGGCACATAAAATTAATTGTCACAGCACTAAATAGTAACATTAGAAAAGAAACATCAATAATAGAAACTGAAATTAAAAACTATACTATTTGCAATCATTCCCAAAAATGAAATATCTAGATGTACATCTAACAAAATACATACAGGATCTGAATGCTGAAAATCAGAAAATGCTGATAAAATAAACAAAGACCTAATATTAGTCTTGTCTAGTGAAATATTGTAATATTAAGCTAGCCCAGTGAAAAGAAGAGGGATCTAAAGTCAATTCCTGACTTGTGTGAATTTGGGAAATTTACAGAATGATTTTTGGGCTTTGGTCCTCATAGAGTTTTTATAAAGATTAGACAAATTAGTGGATGTGTTAGTTATGTTTACACTTAAAATTACCTAAGTACTGAAAATATAAAATAATCCTAAAATAATTACTTAGACCAAAACAGCTGGCCAAAGCTATCATGTAGTATTAGTGTTTTGAACAGTAACATAACTATAAATAGGCTTATAATCTTACTAGAGGCCCAATGCACGAAAATTCATGCAAGAGTAGGCCTTCCTTCCCCCTGGCTGCCGGCACCGGCTTCCCTCTGGCACCCGGGACCTGTGCTGCTTCCTTTGGGCTGCTTACAGGCACCTGGGACCCAGGCTGGCTTCCCTCCGGTCCCGGCTTTGTCAGGAAGGACGTCCAGAATGACGTCCGGAAGAGGTCTGGTCTAACTAGCATATTACCCTTTTATAATATTACCCTTTTATTATTATAGATATAGATGTGTTGGTTATTTTATTGCTGGTATAGATTCTGTTGAATGGTCATTTCTTAAAAACAAAGACTGTGTCCTTTAAATCAGTGAGGTCACCAGCCTTTCGGATCTCACGGACCACCAGTGGTCCACGGACCACTGGTTGGTGACCACTGCTTTAAATAGCTACCGTAATATCATATATTTTAATATCTTATTTAGTATCAGTATTATACAGGAATACCCTACTTCAGTGGCATAGCAGTAACACATTTAACATGTATTCTGTGAAAGGTACTGAAAATACGTTCCTGTGATTATCTGCTTTGTGGTCTCTTGAGATCCAGATTTGTATTCCAATATTTATATTTTAATCTAAAGTGAATAGTAGCACATAATTGATATGTTTTATATTCTCTTTTTCTCATTTCAGGTCAATGAATACATTTTTGATAATTTATCTAATAATCCTTATTTCTGAAGCCATCATCAGTACTATCTTGAAATACACATGGCAAACTGAAGAAAAATGGGATGAACCTTGGTATAACCAAAAAACAGAACATCAGAGAAATAGTAGTAAGGTATTTTATTCTGTTCTTGACTCTGCTGCTGTAAAGGAAACTTCTGATAGGAGTGACCATTCTGACCTTCCGAAAACCATTACTATTGAAGGATGACAAAAGGATATTGCACACTTGAAACCAATACAAAATATTGAAATTAAACTGTAATTGAAATAAAAGAATCACAGTAGATGAAAAAATAAAAACAAACGGCATTGCAAATGAAGGGTAGCCAGCCTGTATGTATTGGTATACTTTTTACACTTTAGGACATGAACAGTTACATTTTCTATGTCGTGATTTGAATAGTTACAAGAGGTCACAAAAATTTAAGTCAGCTGTATTGGCATCCACTTGAATACTACAAATTCAGTTTTTTATTTCTGTATGTTACAAGTGAAATAAAGAGTAAGTTGGTTTATTTTCAATTCTGCCAGAATAATTCAAGGAATCTTATTGTCAGTCTATTGATAGAATGAAGTTAAGAACACAGTTTATGTCATATAAAGTTTTAAACTGATTAAATATGGACTACCAAGAGAATTTAACCTACAATATGGGTAAATAATTGTTCTCCAAATTTCACTTTAGATTAAAATACAAATACTGGGATACAAATTTGGATCTCACAAAGCAGATAATCTCAGGAACATATTTTTAGGACCTTTCACAGAATGCATGTTAAATGTGGTACTACTATGCCATTGAAGTAGGCTATTTCTGTGTAACCTGTAATTTAAGAGTTTTAAATTCTAGCAGTTCCAGGCTAGCAATTTCATAATTTTTAAAAACTACACTCAATTTTTAGTTAACTGTAATTTTGAAGAGTAAAAGTAGAATGGTAAGCATATTCCAGAGGTTATAATTAAAATTTTGCCAAAAGCAGTTTTAGACACACCAGGTTTTTGGTGGCTTCTGAAAAGTAACAAATAATTTGAATGTAACCAATTTTTTCTTTTACTTTGTTTGAGAATCTAATGAGCAATAAAACTACCAAGGAAATGTGTTAAAAAGACAACTCAATAAATGAATTTTAGTCCATGAGACTATTCTGCTTCAAAATATAGTTAATGGTCTGTTTGGACTTGAAACTTTCTGATAACTTTCTGCAGTAATACTGAACATAGTTTTATATTTTCACATATCAAATAATCATTTTTCCCTCTAGATTCTGAGATTTATTTCAGACTTCCTTGCTTTTTTGGTACTCTACAATTTCATCATTCCAATTTCATTATATGTGACAGTCGAAATGCAGAAATTTCTTGGATCATTTTTTATTGGTTGGGATCTTGATCTCTATCATGAAGAATCAGGTCAGAAAGCTCAAGTCAATACTTCTGATCTGAATGAAGAGCTTGGACAGGTAATGACCCTTTTAATTTGTTTTCCTGACTTGTTATTTTAATCAAAACACATGTGCAAAGACTAATAAAACAGAAAACATTAGAAGGCTTTTACCAAAAATAGCCCTACTTTGCTCCACATCTAATTTTGTTTTCTATGTTTCAGTTTTAAAGCTGTTATTTGTTTGACTGGTGATGTATTTTATATCATCATATTTGTTTAATACTTCATTCTCATTCTTCCTAGTCTAAAAGTTTTTTATTAACTTGAATAAATAAATGACATCTCACCCAGGCAGTGTGGCTCAGTGGTTGAGCATCGGCCTGTGAACCAGGAGGTCACAGTTCAATTCCCGGTCAGGGCATACTAGTATGCTCAGGTTGCAGGAGGCAGCCTATTAATGATTCTCTGTCATCATTGATGTTCCCTCTCCCTCTCTGAAATCAATATATATATATATATATATATATATATATATATATATATATATATATATATTTTTTTTTTTTTTTAAATAAGTGACACCTCCTAAGATATCCTTCTTTAAATTACAATTCGACATTTGCTATAGATACTGGGCAACCTTTAATATCACATAGCAGTGGTAAAGTATATTATCTTTTATTTCTAGTTTCACCATTTGCTAGTTACTAGTATATGATGGGGTATGTTACTTAATTATTCTGTTTACCTTTACTATTTCCAAAATAATGAACTTTGAGGTATAGTTTCTCATGTATCTTTATGTCTTAGTCAAAACAATTTTGCTCCAACTTTAATTCTACCTCCCTTGTTATATATTGATCTTTTTATTCTGCAGTTTTGCTGAACTCACTTGTTAGTTGTAGTAGTTTTTTTCAGTGGATTCCATGACCTATATACAAGGTCGTGTTATCTGCAAATGGAGATAGTTTTACCTCTTCTTTTCTAAATAAATACCTTTTCTTTTTTGTTGCCCAATTGTCCCGATTAGACCTTCAGTACAGTGTTGAATAAAAGTGGCAAGAGCAGACATCTTTGTTTTATTCCTGAAGTTGGAGGGAAAGCATTTAGTCTTTCTCCATTAAGTAAGATGTTACATGGGTATTGGTAGATACATTTTATCAGGTTGAGGAGTATGCTTTTATTCCTAATTTCTTGAGTGTTTTTTTAATCATGAAAGAGTATTGGATCTTGTCAAATGCTTTTTCTACATCTATCGAGATAACTATTTTATTATTAGAATAAAGATCAAGTGCGATTTATTTTTATGGTGGGTTTCACTGATTGAGTTTTATATGTTGAACCAATCTTTCATTCCAAAGATAAATTTCACATGGTCATGGTATCTAATCCTTTTTATATGTTTCTGGATTTGATTTGTGTCTATTTTTATAAGGGGTCTATAGTTTTTTTCCCTTTGTGATAGCTACCTCCTGTTTCAAATGCCTTCTTTCTCAAGTCATCATTGCAATAAGCAGATTCTCATCATAATTCTAGTTGTATCAAGAATTGAGTATTTCAATCTTCGCTTTATGGACCTACCTTCTTTTAGGGTTAGTTTTCTAGAATTAGTCTCAGAGTAATAAAATTATTTGTCTTATTTACTTTTTAAAAGATGTTTTTAAACATTTCTCCTTTTTACTGATTTGTTTCGTGCCCTCATTTTCAATTTCCTCTGTCTGTCTATTTTAGACAACTTTCTACCTCTCATTTTTTGTGTTGCTATCATTTTGTGTTTCTGTTTCCAGCTCTATACCAGTTCTCCTGAACCAGATTCCCTTTCACACTCTAGGTTCATTACTAGTAAGCATGCCTTCCATCCCTGCTCATAGATCAGTCTATTTATTTTTTATTGATGAGAAAGAGAGAAACATTGATTTGTTGTTCCATTCATTTATGTATTCACTGGTTGATTCTTGTATATCCTCTGACCGGAAATTGAACCCACAACTTTAACGTATCACAACAATACTTTAACCAAATGAGCTACCCAGTCAATGCTCAGAGATCATCTGTGAGTCCTACTAAAAAACATCCAGGAGATAAAAAGAAGTACTAATACTACATTCAACTCCACAGGTGAACATGCACATACAGATGCCACAAACTTCAAAGTGTATATATTTTAAAATGTTTTCTGTTACCCTGTTTTGTTTCCATGGCATCTTTAATTATTTAATGGATTATCAGAATCAGCTTCAATATATCAGTTTTAATAGGCAGACTTGACTTGAGACAGAGGCCAACTTTTCTTGTTTAACGTAGGACTGTGAACACAAAGGTTGTGTGTTTCTTTTTTTTGTTATTTTTTCTATCTCTAGGTGGAGTATGTGTTTACAGATAAAACTGGCACACTGACAGAAAACGAGATGCAGTTTCGGGAATGTTCAATTAATGGCATAAAATACCAAGAAATCAATGGTAGACTTGTATCCGAAGGACCAACACCAGACTCTTCAGATGGAAACTTAAGTTATCTTAGTAGTTTTTCCCATCTTAACAACTTACCCCATCTTACATCCAGTTCTTCTTTTGGAACAAGCCCTGAAAATGAAACTCAACTAGTAAGCAATTTTTAAATTAATAAATAGGAGTTTCATTTGAAATAGTTCTCTTTGTATTAGTGGGGCAAGAAATATGTATTTGAAATATATATCCTTTGGTTTAATACTGAGAATTTACAGTCACTTAATATGTGTTTGTAAATGGAACTAAGCTAAGGAAAGCCTACTGCCTTTAAGTAAAGACTTTGCTGAGACAGAGCTTAAATTTATTTAATACTTTCTGAGACCTCACTTCTTCCACAAGAGAAGTTTCACCTTTACTTGCAATTTGGTTATGCCTCTTAAAAAGTTGACGGGTCATAAGCAAATGTGACATTTTACTCTTTAAAGTTAGAAGCAACGAGCTGTTATTTAGGCAATTCAAAATTGTAGCATTCTTATTCTAGATCTTAGGTTACCAAAATATGAACTGTATTTATTTGCATTTTTTAGAATTCTGTTTCTGGTTTTCTAAATGTCATTTGGGATTGGTATTGAAGTGTGAATATTAAATTATGTATTTACAGATTAAAGAACACGATCTCTTCTTTAAAGCAGTCAGTCTCTGTCACACTGTACAGATTAGTAATGTTCAGACTGATGGCATTGGTGATGGTCCCTGGCAAGCCAGCCTTGCACCCTCCCAGTTGGAGTACTATGCATCTTCACCAGATGAAAAGGCTTTAGTGGAAGCTGCTGCAAGGTAGGTTAATCTGATTTCCAAATCATCAGAAAAAAACTTTTTAAATAAAAAATGTGAAAACACTAGTATTTGAATTGTCAGACAAAATTCATAAACACATAGAGGTAGAAATTTATTTTAGTTTTTTTAATGAGAATTTGAAATGTATCATTAATTGCTAAGTTTGCAGTAGAGTCATATTTTGATGTGATCTCTAAAAATCTGGTTAATATGAATAATATAATCTGTGAGAATACATGTGTATTGTTTTGGACCTACTCTGATCCTTCAAGTTCTTAAAAATAGTGCTATATTAAGAGGAAATATTTTAAAATCCATCTTAAACTTGTATTTTAAATATTTTTATTCAAGCTAAGTTATAATATATTGTGAAACATGAAATATCATTCCCTAAATTTTATATTTTTTTCTCATTTTAATCCTAGGATTGGCGTTGTATTTATTGGCAGTTATGAAGAAACTATGGAAGTTAAAATACTTGGAAAACTGGAACAGTAATTATTTTCTTTATTGTAATTTTCTATATATCAAGCATTTAGTATAGAACAGATTTAGGTAATTTGTGGCCTACAGCCTGTTTTTGTACAGCCCATAAACTACATTACATTTTTAAGAGATTGTTTAAAAAAAAATAAGAAAGAATATCTAACATAGACCATATATGTATACAACGCCTAAAATATTTACTATCTGGCCCTTTACAGAAAAAGTTTACTGACCCTGCTCTAAAATGATATTATTACATTGTATTTCATCACAGTAATAACAATATTCTGCTTTGAATCTTCTCTATTTTAGCTTAATGGTTCTTGAATTTATTTATATTTATTTTTACACACTCCTAGGGTAATGATTTTTGTAAGTTTCTTACTAATAAAGAAAAACTTTCTTATATTTTCTATGATTTTATCTTTTAAACATTAAAGAACAGCTATCTTATTTCCTCTGTATGATAAATTAGGCCCATTCTTACTATAGTCAAATCTTTCATGATTTTATCAGTTCCAGTCATCTCAACTCTGGCTGTGCATTTTTAGACTGTGCTTTTCCAAACTAAGTAGAGCTTTTTCTTTGGCTGCTTTCATGTGGGAGCCTGTCTAGCTCATTCTATCAACTTAGAAACCATCATTACAATCAGTGTTTATCTTTCATATGGGCAAGGCATTGCATATGTACATCATCTATAATAATAAAAGCGTAATATGCAAATCGACCATCCGGGCAGCCTTCCGTACAACCACGCTATGACACGCACTGGCGCCAGGCCAGCCAAGGCAGGTGCGATGCAGTTGGTCAGGGGCCGTCATCACCCCACGATCGCCCCAAAGAGGGAGGCCCAGGATACCCGGCGGCGCTGGGGCAGGTGGTCAGGGCGTCCCTCTGCGTGGCAATGGGTCACGGAGCCCCGGCCAGGTGGGCGGGGCCTCCCTCTGAGGAGACATTGATGGCAGAGCCCCACAATTGATCCCCCCACAGACGGAGGCCCAGGCCACCTGGCTGGCAGCAATGTGGCAGGTGGGCAGGACCTTACTCTACAGGGCAATCGATCTCCCCAGAGAGGGCGGCCCAGGCCACCGGCCAGTGATGTTGTGGTGGGTGTGTGGGGACGGCCAGCTATCTCCCACAGAATGAGGCCCAGCCAGCTAAGTCATCGCACCCCATGCCTATTGCCCACAGAGGGAGGTGACCAGTGGGGGGTGGGGGGGGATAGGAGCAGTGCTGCTCAGATGGCAAGCAGTGGCAGGGGCAGGGCTAGCTGCTGGTAGCCAGGGGAAGGAAAGCTCTGATAGGCCCTGATCGCCGGCCAGGCCTAGGGACCCTACTTGAAGGGTCCTGGCTTGCGAGAGGGCACAGGCTGGGTTGAGGGACTCTCCCCGCACCCCCCCCGCCCATGAATTTCATGCACTGGGCCTCTAGTTGTATGTATTCATCCAGAAGACTTTTTAGCCTACACCTGACCCATCCATGCAAATTTTTTTACTGCTCCTTAGAGAGGCATTTGTTCCCCCACCTATATACATGTATTCTGTCCCAGGTTCAGAATCACTGCTATAATGAGCCTCTGTTATTCATGTGAGTGAGTGTATTTCTTAGGTGTGTTTGGGCAGAAAAGAAGAGACTCAATTACATTTTTTAGTGAGAAGGACATGGAGCTATGGGCAGATCTGGATTCCATTCACAAACTTATTTGACGTTAGGCAAATCACTTAATCTTTCTGTGTTTAATAGTCCTCATTTGTAAAAAGAGATAAGACCTACCTCCCTTGGTTCTCATAGGTCTTAAAGCACATACGATATGTAAAGTGCATGGCATTTGGTAAGTGCTCAATAAATGTTAATTCCTCCTATTTGTATCTTCTTTTGCTAGTAATAACTCATAACCAGTCATCTTGAAAATGTAGTTGAGGTTAATTTCTTGTTCTAAATTAATTGTTTTTATCTTTAATAGGTACTCTTTCTAAATATTTACTTGATATTATTCAAAAAGTAAAGTTTGGTCTTTTTTTTCCCCTATTAGGTACAAACTGCTTCATATTCTGGAATTTGATTCAGATCGTAGGAGAATGAGTGTCATTGTTCAGGCACCTTCAGGTAACCAACCTGAACTTTTATGAATTTTTATTTATCTAATATTAAGAGCTTGATAACTCATTTTTCTTTTTAGGTGAGAAGTTTTTATTTGCTAAAGGAGCTGAGTCATCAATTCTCCCTACATGTATAGGCGGTGAAATAGAAAAAACAAGAATTCATGTAGATGAATTTGCTTTGGTGAGTGCAAATTTCTATGATTTAAAAAATCTGAAAGATATGTATATATACCTATGTATCATATATATATACACACACATACACACACACACACACATATATATATATATATATATGAAAGATTTGGGGTTTTATTTTTGCATTAATTTATCAAAAATTATAGAATTATGTGTTGGATCCATGTTCTTTAGTTAGAAGTTGACTTTTAACCTGTTAAAATGTGTCTTGTCTTTGAACCTATTATAATCAGGGTACTTCTAGCAGCAAGGACCACTCAGATTACTATATTAAAAAGTGGGGAGGGTTACTAAAAAAATACAGGGGAAATCCCAAGGATGTGGAGAAATTGGGACCCTCATACACTAGTGGGAATATAAATGATATAGCCACTTTAGAAAATAGTTTGGCAGTTTTTCATAGAACATGGAGTATACTAAATGATACAGCAATTTCACTCCTAGGCATACACCCTAGAGCAGTGGTCGGCAAACTGCAGCTCGCGAGCCACATGCGGCTCTTTGCCCCTTGAGTGTGGCTCTTCCACAAAATACGTGCGGGCACGCACATACAGTGCTATTGAAACTTCATGGCCCATGTGCAGAAGTCGTTACTTTATGGAAGAGCCACACTCAAGGGGCCAAAGAGCCGCATGTGGCTCGCGAGCCGCAGTTTGCCGACCACTGCCCTAGAAAATTGACAACATGTCTACCAGAAACTTGTACACAACTGTTCTCAGCAGCAGTACTTCTAATAGCCAAAAAATGTAAACACCCAAATGTCCATCAACTGATGAATGGATTAAATAATATGTCATATCCATATAATGGACTATTTGGCCACTGAAAGAAATGAAGTACTAATATATGCCACAACATGCATCAACCTTGAAAAGGTTATGCTGAGGGAAAGAAGCTAGTCACAAAAGGCCACAGAGTCCATTTATATGAAAGATCCAAAATAAGCAAATTTATAGTGATTGCCACAGTGGAAGAGGAGGAAGTGTAGTGTCTGCTAATGGATGTGGAATTCCCTTGGGTGTGATGAAAAGATTCTGGAATTAAATGCTAAAATAATTACACAGTTCTTTGAGTTAACTAAAAATTAATGAATTAGCCTCTTTAAAGGAGTGAATTTTATGGTATATGAATTATGTCTTTCAATGAAATAATGTAGGAGAATCTTACAGAAACAAAGTGCCACAAATTATGTGGATAGAAAATTTTTTAAGCAGCTCTCTCAGTATTAGGACCTCATGATCTTTCATTCCGGCTTTTCTGTAAATGTACTCATCTCTGCTCAACTGCCTCCTTTACTTATGGTTTCTTTTTTCCCATTACTGTTCCCTAATTGTTTATGATGGTTCATTTACCACACTGTAACATCCATGAGAACAAAGATATTGTTTTACCTTACTATCATATCAGTATTCAGAACAGTGCTGGCACATAGTTGAAACTCAATAACTGTTTGTTATAGAGTAAACTAATTAAGTTCATTTGTTAATAAATCTCATAGTCCTTTAAATGTTATTTTAACAGAAGCATTTATTTATACGTGTGGGTCATTTGCAAATCAACAAATGCCAATATTTAGAAATATGCTAAATAGTATCATATAGTATTTTAAAATCTGCCTTTCCAAGTTCTGTAATTAGAACATTTACTTTGGGTTTTTCTGAGGAAATTATATAGCAAGAAAAGGAACTCTTATAAGCTTGTAAATTTATATACCAACTTTCAAATACTAATACCATAAGAAAAATTTGAACCCAGTAGTATCAGAAAATCAAGCATATACATTTTAAAATTCTATGTAATTCCAGTTCACCAGTGAAGATGTACTGATACAATTTTAAATCATTTAGTAGCTCTAGAAAGTATTGGTTGTTTGATAATGGCCACCTTACAGACTTCTTTATTTGAATTGCAAGTTTGTCATACCATAAAACCAGGAGTGGGGAACTTTTTTTTGGCAAGGGCCACTTACATATTTATAACATAATTCGTGGGCCATACAAAATTATCAACTTAAAAATTAGCCTGCTATATTTGGTCATACATTTAATTAACTCACTCCTAATGCTTTGGCAGGGCCAGACCTTTTATGGCCTGGACGTCCCCACCCCTGCCATAAACCCTCAGGAAATGATAGTCCCTTTGCTTAAAAAATTTCTTATGAAGTAGGGAAAAGTGGATTTGTAATGGTTAAAACAGAAAAGTAGAACCTGGGGCTGCCTCTCTCTTGATAATCATGAAGGTACCATTATGGAACTTTCTGGCTTTCCAGGTAAAACAGTTTTAAAACCACAGATAAGATAATCTTATGATTGTATCTATTCTCTAATATACAATTTCTTAATTGTTTTGAGCAACTTATTAAGAACTCCTTAGAAATTGAAAGAGTTATGATAATAAGTGTTCCATAACTCAGGTCACTAGGACTTTTTTGTCATTTCATTTATTTTCTGTCACTAGATGATAGTACTTTTTAAATTATTTGTAATTGATTTTTTGTATTGGGGTCCTCAGTTTTATTTCAGTGACTTCTTAATTCCCCATTAGTTATTTTTGTTTAATTTCTGTCTTTAATTTTTCTGTGTTAGAAAGGGCTAAGAACTCTGTGCATGGCCTATAGACAGTTGACATCTAAAGAGTATGAGGTAATAAATAGACGCCTATTTGAAGCCAGGACTGCCTTGCAGCAACGGGAAGAGAAATTGGCAAATGCCTTCCAATTCATAGAGAAAGACCTGATATTACTTGGAGCTACAGCAGTAGAAGACAGGTAAGTATCAGATAAATAGGCAATATCATTTTTCTCATTCAAGAATTTTTTTAGCCAAGTGTTCCTAATTTATGACATAAATTTCATTTATTAACATCCTGTAATTAATATATTTAAAATCAAAATCAGCAATTAAAGCCTTTTTCCCATCAGTGTGTATAATTTTCTTCTAGCAAGGTATCTGAAATAGTTGAAAAAAATACAGCTATGTATAATTTTGCCCATAGACCTAAATTTTTAGGATATTCTGCAGTATGTGCCATACAAAGACGTTAAGCACCTACTTAATTCTCCAGCCTCACCTGCCACTACTGTGTCCTTCCACTTGATACTTCCATAGTACCAAACTGTCCGTAGTTCTCTGAACAACAAGTGTAGTTAACACTGTTCTGTTTTGTGGCTTTGTTCCTTGGCAAGGCTATGCCTTCTACCTGATTATTCTCTTACCCATTTGTGAATACCTATTTATAAAGTACTAGAAGCCTGGTGCATGAAAATTCATGCACTGGAGGGGAGGTCCCTCAGCCCAGCCTGCCCCCTCTCACAGTCTGGGAGCCGTCAGGGACGGGAGGCGACCTGGAGATCAGGGGAAGGCGATGCCCCCATTACACCCCTGCCGGCCCTGGTTACTTGAGCCTCGGGCAGCCCTAGTTGGCTGGGCAGCGCCTCGCACTGGCCCTGGGCGGCTGGGGGGCTGAGGGCAGGTCCGGCCACACCGTGTGCCTGCCGTGCCCCCTCCCCGGCTGGGCTGAAAGGACTGTTGGACTCCAGCAGGGCTGAGGGGACTGGGTGTTGCCATCTTTATGATGGTGTGATGGTCAATTTGCATATTCCCTCTTTATTAGATAGGAAAGTTCAAGTATTACTTCATTCCACTAAACCTTTCCATACTTCTAAAAGAATTTAAAAAGCTCTTTTTGTTAAGTCTCCATGTTTTGAAGATCTGCATTGTCCTTGTGGCAGTATATTACAACTAGAGGCCCTGTGCATGAAATTCGTGCGGCGGGGGGGGGGGGGGGGGGACGGTGTCCCTCAGCCTGGCCTGCACCCTCTCCAATTTGCGACCCCTTGTGGGAGGGGATGTCCAATGCTGGTTTAGGCCCTGTGGGATCGAGCCAAAACTGGCAGTTGGACATCCCTCTCACAATCCAGGACTGCTGGCTCCTAACTGCTTACCAGCCTCATTGCCCCTAACTGCTTCTGCCTGCCAGCCTGATCGCCCCATAACCGCTCCCCTGCTGGCCTGATTACCCCCAACTGCCCTCCCCTGCAGGCCTGATTGCCCCCAACTGCCCTCCCCTGCAGGCCTGGTTGCCCCCAACTGCCCTCCCCTGCAGGCCTGGTCCCCTCCAACTGCCCTCCCCTGCCAGCCATCTTGTGGTGAACATCTTGTGATGACGTTGCGTGATGCCACCTATGCTTTTATTATACAGGATTATTTGTTTAATGGCTTTGTTCTTTATTCGCCTGTGAATTTCTTGAGGTCCATTTATTCTTTGTCTTTGTTTCCAGCACCACTCTCAATATGTGTTTCACAGTTTCTTGAGTTAAATTGAAATCTGTGAATTAAGTTGAATTCTACAAATTAATCCTTATATTTTTCTCGACCTCTTAGCTTAGATCTATGTGTGTTTGCATTAGAAAAACAAACAAACAAGAGAAAAAAAACAACCCTAGGTTTTCATTTACTTTTCAGTTGTCCTCATGAAATTTCTGAGACTCACCTGAGGCTATATAGTCCTTTATTGTCCACAGTCTAATTTTTGAACTGCTGATATGAGAGATTTTCTTATCAAAAAAAGAGAAAAATCTTATAGTAAAACTTAAGACTTTCTAATAAAATAGTTTATGTAGGACATATACTTAATTGGTACTATAAAAATCAACTTTGAAAATATATTCTTAAAATATGAGTTTGTAATAAATGAGGCATGTGGCCCATCGGCCAAGAGTTTGACATGTTTGTAGATTTTATGTTAAATAGATGATCACTGATTTAGTCATTCTTGTCTCTTTCCTAATGGGGGGAAAAATTCAGTTTTATCACTGAACTGAATGTTACTATAACATTCTTAGGTCAAGAAGTCCAGAATTTACCTTACTTATACTCTGTGATTTATATTTAAAATACAATCAGAAAAGTATTTTCTACTGCTAATTTTGTTTATTTTCAGACTGCAAGATAAAGTTCGAGAAACTATCGAAGCATTGAGAATGGCTGGTATCAAAGTATGGGTACTTACTGGAGATAAACATGAAACTGCTGTTAGTGTGAGTTTATCATGTGGACATTTTCATAGAACCATGAATATCCTTGAACTTATAAACCAGAAATCAGACAACGAATGTGCTGAACAATTGAGGCAGCTTGCCAGAAGGTAAGAATATAATTATCTGAATCAGATAGTTGAGGGGTAAGTAAACTATGGCCCACTGCCAGTTTTTTAATGCCCATGAGCCCAAAATAATTTTTATATTACTTGATGGATGAAAAAGAATCCAAAGAATAATATTTCATGTTGTGAAAATTATATAAAATTAATATTTTGATGCCTGTGAATAAAATTTTGTTGGAACACAACCACCTTCATTCATTTACATGTCATCAGTGAAAGCTTTTGCACTATAGCAACACAGCTGAGTATTTACAACAGACCTTATGAAGCATTTTTATCATTTTTCACTGCTGCTTGATACACTTCAAGTTACAGCAACTCAATAGTGTCTTGAGTGCCACACATACTGCCATCTAACATTTTACTTTTTTTTTTTTTTTTTTTAATATATTTTATTGAGTTTTTACAGAGAGGAAAGGAGAGAGATAGAGAGTTAGAAACATCGATGAGAGAGAAACATCGACCAGCTGCCTCCTGCACACTCCCCACTGGGGATGTGCCCGCAACCAAGGTACATGCCCTTGACCGGAATCGAACCTGGGACCTTTCAGTCCGCAGGCCGACGCTCTATCCACTGAGCCAAACCGGTTTCGGCTAACATTTTACTTTTTATTTACAAACCTCACCTGAGGATATGTTTCCATTGGTTTTGAGAGAGAGAGAGAGAGAGAGAGAAGCATCGTTGTGAGAGAAACATCGATTGGTTGCTTCCCGTACAATTGAACCTGCAACCTATGTTGTGTCCTGACCAGGAATCAAACCTGCAACCTTTTGGTTTACAGGACGATGCTCCAACCAACAGAGCCACCCAGCCAGGGCTTACTATATTTTAACTATCATTATTTACTCATTATCTCCAAACAAGAAAAATGGACTTTTAATATCACACTTTTTAAAAAAGATATTCTTATTGATTTCAGAGAGGAAGGGAGAGAGAGAAACATCAATGATGAGAGAATCATTGATCGGCTGCCTCCTCCACACCCCCTTCTGGGGATCGAGCACAACCTGGGCATGTGCCCTGGCCTGGAATCAAACCCAGGACTCTTCAGTCTGCAGGCCGACGCTCTATTCGCTGAGCCAAACTGGCTAGAGCTAATATCACACTTATCACAGTGAAGTGTTGATTATTTTATCAAATTAGATGCAGCGCAATGCTACTTTGAGTGCTGGCCTTCAACAATATATTAAAGTGTCTCTGAATAATAAATACAATGCTTGCACCAGAATGTAAATCTGTGTATTGCTTCTTTTACCAAGAAAATCTTTACAAAATGGGAGTGGGGAGAAACAGTGGAACCTAATAGTGTGGTCAGTAATGTAGTTGATTTAGACACTGATGCAAGCTTCTTATCTCTTCCTGGCAACAAATAGTTTGCCCAGCTGCCAGTAATCATACCATGAGTAGTACTCATATAGCATATGCCCACAAGGGAAGTGTTATCCATGTTTCACCATAGTAATATCTCATGTCACAGTCCATTGTAGGAGTTAATATCAAGAACAGTTATGATTCCTTCATCCCTTTGCTTCCTACTTACACATAATTTAGCTCATGATTTTTTCTGAATGTTTTTATTTAATTTTTTAAAATTAGGATTTACTAAATATAACAATGTTTTTATTTTTGTAAGACTGTATACTCACAATTTGGGAGAATATACTGAGATTATATGTTACAGTTCACATTTAGAAAATATAGTTACTGTGTCTACATATCAGTATTGTAAAATTGAATATCATCTGTTTTATTCATCATATCAGTCACTCTCAGTTCTACTTAATCTTAACTTCAAGGTAATACAATTTAGTTTGTTCCCTGACATGTCAGTTTTGTAATAATAAAGTCTATAGATGAATGGTCCATCTTTCAGTAAGAATCTTTTGTTTACTAAGCGAGTGTAAATAATATGACTTCAAAGTATCTTCAGAGGACATAATTATTTTCTTTTTTAGAATTACAGAGGATCATGTGATTCAGCATGGGCTGGTGGTGGATGGGACCAGTCTATCTCTTGCACTCAGGGAGCATGAAAAACTATTTATGGATGTTTGCAGAAATTGCTCAGCTGTATTATGCTGTCGTATGGCACCACTGCAGAAAGCTAAGGTATGTTTGTGTTATAAAAAGTTCAATTAAAGATACGTAGATCTAAAAGTATTCTTTAAGGTTAATGACTTAACTAGGTCTATTTGGTGGTATGCAGTATATGAATCTTAACTATGGGTCAGTCATTTCTCATATTATGAATTTTAACCATGTACATTTTTAGACTTTTGGAATTTTCAGAGTCATTGTAGAAATTTCAGCTATTCATAATAAATAACCTAGAAAGTCTGTGATGGGTAGCAATTGTGATTTTTCCTGAGACACAAATTTGAGCTGTGACAACTAAAATTTCACAGTTTAGTTACTTACCGACTGAGGGAGCCTGTAAGACTTCAGTGGTTCTATTGATCTCTGCTTATTCTTGCGTTACTGTGAAATGATAATTCTCTTTATTTAAAATGGCTATTAAGTAATAGAACTTTAGTAAGAAGTTGAAAAGCCAATTGTGATATTAAGTTATATACAAAAATATTTAAATTTCAGCTATGATTCTATGTGAAAGCCTATACAAATATTTTTTATAACTCCAAATTTGTAATTTGAGGTCTTAGACTGTATCCTTCACAAATAGTATCATTTGAAATGTACATCTAAACACTGGTTGTTTCACATATAGATCTAATAAATTAGGCATTCAATAGTTTTTGGCTTCATGGAACTTTCTTATAATGCCTATATTATTATAACACATGTCCCCTCAGTCTGTGGAGACTAAAACTGGAGACCAAACAGAGCTAACATCTAGGTTCTTTATAAAAGTACATTCAAGAATTTCAAAGAAACATTTTTTAAAATTTCATTGAATTTAATTTTGATTGCTTTTTAAATTTTTGAAAATAATTATCTTTGCCTAACAAAGTTCAAATAGTTATTACTTTTTACACAGTTATTAAGCTTTTTACAAAGGTAAACTGTATTTAAAGATTTTTGCTTCCCATAATAAAATCCAAGATAATAATGTGTGGTTTTTTTCGCTTTTTGTTTTTTTTAAAGATTTTTTTATTATTGAAAGTATTCCAGATATCTCCCTTTCCTTTGTCCCCCTTTACCCTTTTCTTCCCAGCCCCTACCCATCCCCCTAGGTCTTCACTACCCTTATCACCCATGTCCATGGCCTGTGTATGTAAGATAATACTGTTCTGCAATATCATTCTGAAAGACATTTCTAACATCGTAGTGGAAAGAGACATCCCTCAAAAAATGAACCATAGAGAATATTATTGTCTAATATAAAATTAATTTTTTTCTACTTCCTTCAACAGAGTCATTTCTGATAAATGACTTTCTATAAATATAAGAAGTTAAAATTTTACCGTGATTGATTAGTTGTATGTCTTTCAGGTAATAAGACTGATAAAAATCTCACCTGAGAAACCTATAACGTTGGCTGTTGGTGATGGTGCTAATGATGTAAGCATGATACAAGAAGCACATGTTGGCATAGGTGATTGTTTTTTCCTTTTTCCCTGAACTTTTAACATTGGTATAATTATTTGGGGATTTTGAATTTTTCTTTTGTAAATAAAGTATAGTATCAAATACATGAATGAAAACTGAATGCAACATGGTAATATAGTGTTTCCCTACCAGAAACCTATTATAATTAGCCCAATATTTCAAATATTTTATTTCCAAATTTTCAAAGACATGAATACCACATTAATGAATTTTTCTTTTCCAATTCTCCTTCATAATAAATTAGCTTTATTGTTACATGTAGTTTTATACTTTTTAAAGTAGTTTCATATATTATTTTATCCCTTTTAAACTCTAAATTTATGATTTACATAGTTACCTTCCTGGTTTTAAATTCTTGTTTTAGAATGTTATTTTTTGTCAATCTAAAGATTCTGCAGCTCATTTTAAAGACAACTTTAGAGATAGAAAATCATACCAAACTAATCCTATATAATAAAAGGCTAATATGCAAATAGACTGAACAGCAGAATGACCAGTCACTATGACTCGCACTGACCACCAGGGGGCAGAAGCTCAATGTAGGAGCTGCCCCCTGGTGGTCAGTGTGCTCCCACATGGGGAGCGCCGTTCAGCCAGAAGCTGGGCTCACGGCTGACAAGCGCTGGTGGCGGGAGCCCACCTCCACGGCAGCACTAAGAATGTCCAACTACAAGAAGGTACAGGCCAGGCTAAGGGAACTCCCCCCCACACACACACACACTCCGAGTGCATGAATTTCATGCACCGGGCCTCTAGTAAAATATAAAATTCCAAATAGCCTTCTGACTTAATAACCTTTATCCTAATTTTTTTCTTTTTTTGCCTAGCATTTTATTGGATTCAGAATACAAATTATTTTATTTATATTTAAAATATCAGTCATTTACTATTTAAACCATATTCTGACCTGTTTTTCTCACTAATTTTATTATACAAATACAGAAGTAAAGAGGACAGTATGGGTTTTTCATTAAAGGATAAATTTTTAGTTTCAGAAAAGAGTGTAACTGGTCCTGTTTTGGAATCATTTCTGTAATACCCTGTGAGTAGTTATTGGGTCTAATGTTTCTATTTTATCTCAAATAAGCTCCTACTTCTTTAGGATAATTAAATTTTCATTTTGAAAACTTAATTTTCTTTCCAGTTTGTTAATTGTTCCCATAATTCTCCCTAACAATTTGATATCTTCCTATATCACATATTAAAGCATAAAAAGCTACAGTATTTATAACAGTTTGAGTCTAGTATGCTAGCAGACAGACTAGTGAATAGGATAGATTTAAACAGATGTTTAAGTAGATTCAGATAGATGTTTAAAACTATTTAAACATAAGTAGGGAAACAACTTACTTGATAAAAAATACTGATAAAACTTGTTAAAGACTGTAAAAAGTAATAGAGGAAAAATTTAATGAATAATCCTTTATTTTGAGGTGTAAAAAGGTCTATTAAGTACAAAACCAAACAAAGCAAGAAAAAGATCAGTATGTGTGGCAAAAGTAAATACTGTCCCCCCAAAATTTTAAAGACAGAGTAGTAAAGAATATTTTCAAAATAGATGACAAAGTTTTAATATTCCTAATATGTAAATTCTTAACAAATTAATAAGAAAAATACTATAGTAGAAATAGGTGGAAGGATGTGAACCATCAGTTGTCATAAAAGGAGAAATCTAAAATGAATACTAGCCGAGACCGGTTTGGCTCAGTGGATAGAGCGTCGGCCTGCGGACTGAAAGGTCCCGGGTTCGATTCCGGTCGGGGGCATGTACCTGGGTTGCGGGCATATCCCCAGTGGGGGATGTGCAGGAGGCAGCTGGTCGATGTTTCTCTCTCATCGATGTTTCTGACTCTCTATCTCTCTCCCTTCCTCTCTGTAAAAAATCAATAAAATATATTTTAAAAAAAAATAACATAAAATGAATACTAAATGTATGAAAAAAGGGTTCAGTCTCTCACTAACAAAGAATGCAAGTTTATATTGCCTGTCAGAGTGACAAAAATTACAAAGATTGATAAAATCTGGAATTAGTAAAGGTATAGATTAGTGAATTATCTTATTTGATGTTTATGGGAGTCAAATTATAAATGTTTCCTGTTGACCTGTCAGTCATGCATCTAGAATTTCTTTGAAGAAAATATGTGAATATGTTGACAAAGACATATTTTATAAACAATGTCCATAATAGTATATTAAGAGACAAAAGTAGATTACAAAACAATCCCATTTTTATACACTTATTTGTATGTATAATAAATGTACAGACATATAGAATATGTGGAAGGAAAAATCCTAAAAGTATATATACCAAAAATAGTTTTTTTTCTAGATGCTGTGAATATAGTTGTCTTTATCTATAACACTTTCAAACATTTTGATCCTTTTATGACAAAAATTAAAATTTTTAATTTTGAAAAATAATTTTTCGAAGCTGTTTCTAGATTTAAAAAGTAAACTTGGCAATAACTGTTTTGAAAACTAAAAGATTATCATAACCTAAAAATGTACTCATTTATCAGATAAAATTATGTACTGATTTCAGATGATAGTGTACTTTAAAAAATCATTTTGTTTGAGTTATGCATGAAAAATTTAAAGAAGTCAAACTTGCTCATTTTTGGTAGGTTCAAATTATTCAACTTGGATATTTTTTATGTTCAGTGAAGTTAAAGCTATTTTATAGCATCCTTACCATTAGAAATCTATTAACGAGTACTCTGAACTTTTTAGCATAATTTATGTTCTTATAAGATCCGGGACTTTCAATATTATTTTTATAGTAATTATATTTTATATTACATTCTAAACCTTTGAAAATTGATGTTACATGCCTAGTATATATTGTCGTTTTATTTTAATTTATATATTTGATTTAGAACAAATTTTTGAAAATCTGCTCTCTACTATATATTAGGATATAGTGATCCTAAATCCAACTTCAACTGCTATAATTAACATATTCACAGATATATAGGGGAAAATTGTACTTATCAGTTGTCAATGAATTTGCCTTTTTGTCCCCTTTATTGGCAGGAATCATGGGTAAAGAAGGAAGACAAGCTGCAAGAAACAGTGACTATGCAATAGCAAGATTTAAATTTCTCTCCAAGTTGCTCTTTGTTCATGGTCACTTTTATTACATTAGAATAGCTACCCTTGTACAGTATTTTTTTTATAAGGTGAGTTTCATGGACATATTTATTTATTTATTTATTTTAAATATGTTTTTATTGATTTTTTAGAGAGAGAGGAAGGGAGAGAGGGAGAGAGATAGAAACATCAATGATGAGAGAGAAACATCATCTATTGGCTGCCTCCTGCGCGCCCCCTACTAGGGATTGATCCTACAACCCAGGCATGTGCCCTGACCGAAAATCAAACCAGTGGCCTCTTGGTTCCTGAGTCGATGCTCAACTGCTGAGCTACACTGGCCAGACTCATGGATATATTTTAGAATCAGTTATTGACAGTAAGTTGAGGCTTCAATTTAAGGAATACTATCACCATACAAATTATTCTTAAAAATTGTTCCCATAACAGTTTTTCTTAAAAATCATTTCCATAAAATAAGTTTATGGAATATTCTTTGATTATTAGTCATGAATCTCATGTGTACTGAGAGAAAGAAAATCAAGGGTTGCCTGGTGCTAAGGGTGCAGGTTTTAGAATTGACTGGAAAGGGATATGGAAAATTTTGCATGAGAGAAAAGTTAATCTAGTTTGATTGTGGTGGTGGTTACACAGGTGTATAAATTGTCAAAACACATTAAAAAATTTACACTTAAAATTGCTACATTTCATTTTATACAGATTTAAACTCAATTAATTTGATTTCTTTGATGTAATTTTGTTTTGAACCAGTGGTAAGTTTTAATTTAACTTCAATATGATGGTTTCAAGCAGGTGTTCTAAATCTTTTTGTGTCATGAATGACCATTAGGTAATCAAGTGAGATGTATAAATTACTCAGTATAGGGCTTGTAAATGCACAAAATAAAATACATAGGATTACAAGGAAACTAATTTTGTTGAAGTACTGTTCTGTCTCTTGACTCTTTTGAGGAAGGTAGGATTTGGTGGAACTCATGTTAAGAGCCCCTGAGTACCAAGACATTTAATACACCAAAATATCCTATGTTGCCTATATACCTGTAATTAAGTAATAGCTGCAAGCCAATGAAAGAACACAGGTAGATTGCATATCTAATCCTATATAATAAAGAGCTAATATGCAAATGGTCATCACGCCCTCACGCTGTAACTCCGTAATGGCTCTGACACTCAACACTGGGTCTGAGGAATGGGGATCAGCCAGGCACAAATGAGCTCGTGAGAGAGGAATGGGGACCAGCCAGGCGCAAATGAGCTCACAGGAGAGGAATGGGGACCAGCCAAGCACAAATGAGCTCACGAGAGAGAAATGGGGACCAGCCAGGCAAATTAACGGTGTGGGAGAGGGACAAGCTGTCCACCCCGCGGTCCCAGGTGCCAGCGCCTATAGCTGCAGCCTGGATGAAACTGCCTGCCCACAGTCCCCTGCGGCTGTGGCCGGCCCGGGCGAAGGAGGCCTCGGTCCTGGGTGCCTGCGGCCAGCCAGGGTCCCAGGTGCCTGCAACCGACCAGAGGAGGGAATCCTAGGTCCCGGTTGTGGGGCGAGACAGAGGCGATTAGGGACGATCAGGCCAGCAAGGGAGCAGTTAGGGGCAATCAGGCAGGCAGAGGTGGTTAGGGTTGATCAGGCAGGCAGAGGTGTTAAGGGTGATCAGGTAGGCAAGTAGAGGGGTTAGGGACAATCAGGCAGGCAGGCGAGTGGTTAGGAGCCAGCAGTCCCCAATTGAGAGGCAGTTGGACATCCCCCGAGGGGTCCTGGATTGGAGAGGGTGCAGGCCGGGCTGAGGGAACTCCCCACCCTTGTGCATGAAATTCATGCACTGGGCCTCTAGTCCTATCTAATAATAGAGAAACATGGTAATTAACCATACCTCCGACACACTTCCCATTGGCTAATCAGGGTGATATGCAAATTAACTGCCAAGAAAGATGGCAGCCAGGCAGCTGAAGCGAACAGGAAGCTTGCTTGCTCCAGTGAAGGAGGAAGCCAAGGTTCCCGCCTGCCGCTGCTGGGCTCTGAGCTTGCACTCTAAGCATCTATGTTGCAATTATAGAAGCTAAACCAGGGGTGGGCAAACTTTTTCACTCGAGGGCCACAATGGGTTCTTAAACTGGACCGGAGGGCCGGAACAAAAGCATGGATGGAGTGTTTGTGTGAACTAATATAAATTCAAAGTAAACATCATTACATAAAAGGGTACGGTCTCTTTTTTTTAGTTTTATTCATTTCAAACGGGCCGGATTCGGCCCGCGGGCCGTAGTTTGCCCACGGCTGAGCTAAACCATCCCCAGAAACCTGCTTTCAGCCAGCCGGGATCTCAGAGCTGGAGTTGCAACAGTGTTTCAATTATAGAAGCCAAACAAACCAAGGTCTCAGAGCTGGAGCCAAGCCTCAGAGCTAAAGCCGGCTCTCAGCTCCAGTGACAGCCATAGAAGGTAAATAAATCCTAGAATAAAAAAGAGAAAAAAAGGAGAGGTTGGGAGTTTCAGTCACCTGCCAGCCTGAAAACAGCCCTCAGCCCCTCATCCAGGCTGGCCAGGCACCCCAGTGGGGACCCCCACCCTGAAGGGTGTGTGACCAGCTGCAAACAGCCATCATCCCCTCACCCAGGCTGGCCAGGCACCCCAGTGGGGACCCCCACCCTGAAGGGGGTGTGACCAGCTGCAAACAGCCATCATCCCCTCATCCAGGCTGGCCAGGCACCCAAGCAGGACCCCCACCCTGATCCGGGACACCCTTCAGGGCAAACCAGCCGGCCCCCACCCGTGCACCAGGCCTCTATCCTATATAGTAAAAGGGTAATATGCAAACTGACCCTAACAGCAGAAGGACTGGGAATGACTATTCACTATGACACACACTGACCACCAGAGGGCAGACGCTCAATGCAGGAGCTGCCCTCTGGTGGTCAGGGCGCTCTCACATGGGAGGAGCTCTGCTCTGCTCAGCCACAAGCCAGACTGATGGCTGCCAGTACAGCGGTGGTGGTGGGACCCTCTCCTGCCTCCTCAGCAGCGCTAAGGATGTCCGACTGCAGTTTAGGCCTGCTCCCTGCTGGCAAGTGGACATCCCCCGAGGGCTGCCGGGCTGCCAGAGGGATGTCTGATTGCCATCTTAGGCTCAATCCCCCGGGGAGCGGGCCTAAGCCAGCAGGTGGTCATCCCCTGAGGGGTCCCAGACTGTGAGAGGGCACAGGCCGGGCTGAGGAACCCCTCTCTGCCCCCCTCCCGAGTGCACAAATTTTTGTGCACCTGGCCTCTAGTGTGTATATATAAAAGCCTAAGCGACTGTTCGACTGTCTGACTGGTAGCTATGATGCTCACTGACCACTAGGGGGCAGACGCTCAACACAGAAGCTGCGGTGACTTGGCAGCTGCGTTTCTTGGGTAATGCACCCGGAACCAGAGAAGAGGGAGCCCGATTCCAGGGTGTGTCACCCGTGAACCATCCTTTCACAATGCGGGACCACTTGGGGTGTTGGAGAGCCAGTTTTGGCCTGATACCCACAAGCCAGGCCAAGGGATGCCACCGGTGCACAAATCCTAGTTGTGGCAGTTTTTCTTTCTAACTTATAGTTTTGCTGTGACATAAGTATATTGAAATCAGAAGATGTTTGACAGTTCCATTTATTCTGTTTTAAATATTTTAAAGCTACTATACCCCAGAGTTGAAGTAAAATAATTGGAAGGTATAAATTCAGAATTATGGTATTGCTTGGCAGTGATACAAGTTCAGAGCATTTTATTCTGACATTTGCATTGCTGTGTGAAATACTTTCAGACATTTTTTAATAAATGGGAATTCTGTTTTTCCGTTTTATATGGACAAGTTCTTATAGGTAGATCTTCTGTTCTCCATATCAATGGAGACTGTGTTTCTAGACTCATTAGTCATTTTAAAAAAATTTTCTTTTTGACCTAAATATTTTAATTATTTCCATTAAATCTTGTTTTTCAGAATGTGTGCTTTATCACACCCCAATTTTTATATCAGTTCTACTGTTTGTTTTCTCAACAAGTAAGTAAATAGAAGCTTTTGTTTTTATACTTTCAGAATAAATTATGTGTATTCAGTATTTGATAAATCCTTGGAGGGAATTTTTCGTAGTCCTACTGATAATTAGATAAAACTTTTCTAATTAGTGTATTTAATCAGTGTAGCATTCATAACATTTATTCTGATTTTTAGTTTGAAATGTGTTAATAACAAAGTATATTTTAATTCTGGATACTTTTTAAAAATGGGTATTAACACTTAACAGTTTGAGATAATTTTGTAGCATTTTTCAACTTATGTGTATGTAATATTTCTGTAAAATCTATATCAAGCCGGGACAGAAAATTGTTGGGGGTATTACCTCTTCTTCTTTTTTTTTTTTTTACTCATAAATTTTTTTAGATTTGGAAGGAACCTTACTTGCCTAGTGGTAGAGTTCAGGGATGACAGACAGGTTTAATCTCAGAAGCTTATTAAATAATTGGCAGGACCACCAGGAGCACTATATTGAAAGGGGTTCTCAAGCCATAGGCTCAGAAGGAAACCCCTTTTCTTGATTAGCAGTAGCTATACACATGTCACATATTTCCCATTCCTGATCTACTCTGTCTTACTTTATGAAAAAGGAAATTAAAATACACAGAGACTCAGTAACTTGCCCAAGCTCTCATAGCTAAGTTAGTAACTATACCATACTTGGACCTACTGCTTCTGACTAATTGAGCACCCTCTTCACATACCGCACTATACATCTCTAATAGATCAAGACATTTAAGTTTATTGAAATAACAAGAGCTTAATTATTTTAGGTTTTTCATGATTTTTTTTCTATCCTTACTGTTTTCTCCTCTGTTTACAATCCGTAACTTCAAATTCTAAATATCTCCTTAGGCATTGATTGCCAATAATGTTTGCTTACTTGAATGAAGTAAAGAATGCTATAAGAAAAAAAAAAAAAAAAAAAGAATGCTATAAGAGCATATGACAAGGAGAACTAACCTATTTTGATTAAGTTTCAGGGAGTTTACAGTATAATTTAAGATAAAATATTAATAACAATAAAAACAATATGTGAAGCATAGACAAAGTGCTAAGCAAATTAGTGCTACCAGTAGCGCATAGGACTGTTTAGAAGAGAAAGCTGTCATAAATGTGTAAAGTTTCATGGATCATGCCTTAAAGGAAGTGTAGGACTTAGATGCAAAGACAAAACCATGAAAGCAAAACTAAATGTGTAACATATCAAAGGAATAGTAAGAAACCTAGAAGCATGTAGGAGAATTGTGTAAAATTATATCACAATGACCAAATTGTGGAGAATCTTGAAATATAGATACAAATCACTGTATTTCCAGAATTATTTGACATAATAAAATATTCCAATTTCTACAAGAAATATAAATCTATGAACATTATATGTGAATGCTTAAGTCAGAAACAAATTGGGATTATTCAAAAGGATTTTAGTATAAATTGGAAAAAATTACATAATTTTTATTTATTTTGATATGCTTCTGTTTTTATATGCATAAGTATAATAAATAATACATACTTTAGAATTTCAAAATTCCTATCAATTTCTCTTTCTAGACATTGTATGACAGCGTGTACCTGACTTTATACAATATTTGTTTTACTTCCCTACCTATTCTGATATATAGTCTACTGGAACAGCATATAAACCCTCATGTATTACAGAACAAGCCCACCCTCTATCGGTAAGTATTTTCCAGTATTAAGTGTCCATAACATTTCTGATTGCAAGTTACCAGTTTTTAAAAGTACTTTAAAAATAAGCAAATATTTGGTGATTAATACTTTACTAAGGAAAGTACTTTTGTTGTTGTATGGTTTATAATTGTTGAACACAATAATTTTACCAATGTTTTTAGGCATGAATACTTTTATCTTAGTAGTGCATCAGGCAGCAGTTGTATAATTTGCATTTACTGTTGTAAGCCAGTAATATTTTACTTCATGTGCACAAATGAAGTTATTCAGTAATTGGTTGTCTCTAGAGTTTCTAAAATACTGATTTTTATATTCAGGCATTGCCAAATTTATGAGTAGTAATCAATGTAAAATGGAGGGTTAGGGACATTAATTCTTGTCCCATATCCTCTGCCTAAGTCCTGGTTCCACAGAACCAAGTAATCACAGAGATGTGGAACTTTCCTCAGAACCAGTTTGATTTCCACATTAATCTGACCTCCACTCTTATAGAGGCATTCAGTTATCCAGAAATGGCAAAAACTTAACCTTGATTTCCCAGGATATCTAGGACTGGGCTTGACCCAAGATTGGCAAAGACTGGTTTTCTCTGATAGCTATTGATGGACATGAAATCTATTGGGAGCCTCAGTGCTGAACCTAACTCAAATGACTCCACTAAAAAGAACAATCATGGCAGAGTAACTGAATGTTTACAACAGAATATAATACAGATAAATCAACTTTTTACAATTAAACTAAAATATTAGCCTATATCATATTCCTTTATCAAATGAGAACATGAATTTGAAAGTATTATCTATATGTATAAAAGCCTAAGTGACTGTTTGACTGTCCGACCAATAGCTATGACGTGCACTGACCACCCAGGGGCAGACGCTCAACATAGGAGCTGCTGAGCTGCGGTGCTTGGCAGCTGTGGTTCTCGGGTGATGCACCCAGAGCCAGAGAGGAGGGAGCCCAATTCCAGGGTGTGTCACCCGAGAACCACCCCCTCGCAATCCGGGACCCCGCAAGGGATGTCGGAAAGCCGGTTTCGGCCAATTCCCCCAGGCCAGCCCGAGGGACCCCACTGGTGCACAACCCCAGTCCTCTAGTGTGACCTATAAGTTGTTACGCAGTTATATATTACTAGAGGCCCGGTGCACAAAAATTTGTGCACTCGGGGGGGAGGGGAGGTCCCTCAGCCCGGCCTGTGCTCTCTCGCAGTCTGGGACCCCTCAGGAGATAACGACCTGCTGGCTTAGGCCTGCTCCCGGGTGGCAGAGGGCAGGCCCAATCCCTAGGTGCAGCCCCTGGTCGGGCTCAGAGCAGGGCCGATGGGGAGTTGGGGCGCCGCCCCCTGTCGTGCACAGAGCAGGGCGATTGGGAGGTTGTGATGCCACCCTCAGTCACGCACAGAGCAGGGCCAATCAGGGGGTTGGGGCACTGCCCCCTGTCATGCACAGAGCAGGGCCCGTCAGGGGGTTGGGGCGCCGCCCTCTATCACCCACAGAGCAGGGCCGATCAGGGGGTTGGGGCACTACCCCCTGTCACTCACAGAGCAGGGCCCATCAGGGGGGTTGGAGCTCCGTACCCTGTCACGCACAGAGCAGGGCCAATCGGGGTTGGGGCGCTGCCCCGTCACACACAGAGCAGGGCCCGTCAGGGGGTTGGGGCGCCGCCCTCTATCACCCACAGAGCAGGGCCGATCAGGGGGTTGGGGCACTACCCCCTGTCACTCACAGAGCAGGGCCCATCAGGGGGGTTGGAGCTCCGTACCCTGTCACGCACAGAGCAGGGCCAATCGGGGTTGGGGCGCTGCCCCCTGTCACACACAGAGCAGGGCCCGTCAGGGGGTTGGGGCGCCGCCCTCTATCACCCACAGAGCAGGGCCGATCAGGGGGTTGGGGCACTGCCCCCTGTCACTCACAGAGCAGGGCCCATCGGGGGTTGGAGCTCCGTACCCTGTCACGCACAGAGCAGGGCCCATCAGGGGGTTGGGGCGCCGCCCTCTATCACCCACAGAGCAGGGCTGATCAGGGGGTTGGGGCGCCGCCACTGTCACACTCAGGGCAGGGCCGATGGGGAGGTTATGGCTCTACCCCATCACACACAGAGCAGGGCCCGTGGGGGGTGGGGGGGTTTGGGCGCCGCACCCTGTCACACACAGAGCCGCAGGGTGATCAGGGGGTTGGGGAGCTCCCCCCATCAGGCACAGAGCAGGGCTGATCAGGGGGTTGGGGTGCCTTCCCCTGTCACTAACAGAGCAGGGTGGATAGGGAGGTTGTGGCCCCTCCCCTTGTCACACACAGAGCCGCAAGGCGATCAGGGGGTTTGGGCGCTGCCCCCTGTCACGCTGATCCCGGTGCCAGGAGGCCTCGCGGCTCCGCTGATCCCGGTGCTGGGAGGCATATTACCCTTTTACTATATAGGGTAGAGGCCTGGTGCACGGGTGGGTGCCGGCTGGTTTGCCCTGAAGGGTGTCCTGGATCAGGGTGGGGGTCCCCACTGGGGTGCCTGGCCAGCCTGGATGAGGGGATGATGGCTGTTTGCAGCTGGTCACACATCCTTCAGGGTGGAGGTCCCCACTGGGGTACCTGGCCAGCCTGGGTGAGGGGATGATGGCTGTTTGCAGCTGGTCACACACCCTTCAGGGTGGGGGTCCCCACTGGGGTGCCTGGCCAGTCTGGGTGAGGGGCTGAGGGCTGTTTTCAGGCTGGGGGTGACTGAAGCTCCCAACTGCTCCTTTTTTTCTTTTTTTTTTATTCTGGGCCAGCTTTAGCTTTGAGGCTTGGCTCCAGCTCTTAGGCCTCCGCTGCTTAAAGTAGGTTTCTGGCCTTTGCTTACAATGTTGCGATCCTGCTGGCTGAAGCCTGCTGACTAAAGCAGGTTTCTGGGATTTTGTTTAGCTTCTATATTTGTTACATAGTTGCTTAGAGTTGCAGCTCAGAGGCCGGAAAGGCAGGCGGGGAACGTTGGAGTCTTCCGTTACTGAAGCAAGCAAGCTTCATGTTAGTTTCAAGCTGCCTGGCTGCCGGCCGCCATCTTGGCTGGCAGTTAATTTGCATATCGCCCTGATTAGCCAGTGGGAAGGGTAGCGGTCGTACACCAATTACCATGTTTCTCTTTTATTAGATAGGATTACAAGTAGTGGTTTGATTGTAATGACTGTTGATTAGATAAATAATAAATATGAATCCTAATATGTTCCTTTTTCTCCTCTTTTTAAAAAAAATGTAGAGACATTAGTAAAAACCGTCAACTAAGCATGACAAATTTTCTTTACTGGACCATCCTGGGTTTTAGTCATGCCTTCATTTTCTTTTTTGGATCCTATTTTCTAATGGGGAAAGATACATCTCTGCTTGGAAATGGCCAGGTAAAATTTATAGTTTTTAAAAATTGTTAATGATTTTATTTAATTTGGTTTTTGATAACGGGGGGAGGTCAATGGGGGGAAAAAGATGACATATGTATTACTATTTGTAATACCTTAAACAATAAAATAAAATAAAAATGAAATTCAATTAAATTTTGAAATTGCAGATATTAAATTAAAATGCAATTATAAAAAGGTTTTAACGTTTTTTACTTGATAAAATTTTATGCAAATCAAAAATAAAACAAAAAGGCAATACAATGTAATCTTAATATGAAGCTCAAGGTACCAGGCAGTTTTTCTCTTCAAAAATACAAGGGGTTATATTCATGCCCCTGCATGCTGCTGTTCACTCCAGAATTGTGTTTTTAGTAATAGCTACTATTTAATTAGTGCTTACTTTGTGCTTAGCTCTTTACATACCCCATATCCATTAATCCTCACAATAATTCTGTTGGAGAAATACTATGACCCACCCTTTTTAGATGAGAAATGGGGATTTAGTGTTTAGTTTTTTTGCTTTTAATTGCATGCATTATTTTTTTGGTATGCTTAGGAAGCCCTATAGAGTTTTCTGCCCTTCCTGCTGTTCACACAGCAGTCCACATGATCTTTTAGAAATGAGAATATGATCATCTATCTAATCTGCTCAAAATCATCTAGTGTTTTATTATAAGCCACACTGATTTTCTTGTCACTTGAACAGACCAATTTGTTCCTGCCTTAGGACCTCTGCACTTCCTGTTTCTCTTCTGGGATGCTTTTCTCTCACATGGTTTGCTGAAACATCACTGGCTCAAAAAAGCCTTTCTAGCCCACTCCCATAAAATGCTGTCTCTTTCACCTTTCATCACTTACTGGCCCCTTACTGTACATTTACATTTCTTCATAGCACTAGTCTGTCCCTCAAGGTAGATATTTTTAGTTTGTTTATCTGTCTCCACTATGTGTAAACTCCATGAGTCAGCAATTTTGTCTTGTCATTGCTTTATTCCCAAGGCCTAGAATGGTACTTGGCACATAATAGATACTCAATTTCTATTTGCTGAGTATACAAATGAATTATGAATGAGCCTTTTTAACTTGGCTTTATTAAATAATTAGGTAACAAATTCAGTTAGAAGAAGTTATCCAAGAAATAAGCAAATAGTGATAGAAAGTGTTTTGAGCATCTGTGTCTTCTGAGCAGGGGTAGAGCTAAGGTTAGTAGACTTTAAACTTTACACATTTTGGCAGGCCTTCTTTAAGGGGAAAAGAACATACAAGTACAAGCTTAAGTATACTTGAAAATAACTGACTGATACAAATAGGTCCCACTTAACCCAAGCCAGTATAATAAGCCCAACTAACTTCTCTTTAGCCAGATCCCCAAAATGCCTTCTGCCACTCACTTCATTACCAACTCAAGGGGAAGTCAGAATGGAAAGATGCAGTAGTCTTAGCTGATTAATTGCAGTTGAAATACATTACTTTGCCCTGACCAGTTTGGCTCAGTGGATTGAGCGTCGGCCTGCGGATACAAAGATCCCAGGTTCGATTCCGGTCAAGGGCATGTACCTTGGTTGCGGGCACATCCCCAGTGGGGCATGTGCAGGAGGCAGCTGATCGATGTTTCTTTCTCATCGATGTTTCTAACTCTCTATCCCTCTCCCTTCCTCTCTGTAAAAAATCAATAAAATATATTAAAAAATATATATTAAAAAAAAGGAAATACATTACTTTTACTAATTTCATAAAAAAAAAAACAACAAAAAAAAAAAAACAACAGCAACATGTGAATGTGTTTTTATAGCTCCCCCGGGCCTTGAATGCAAGAAGCAGTCCTAAATAAGCTCTGCTTCTAAGAAATATTCCATGTAACTGGCCCCTGTAAAACCAGATACTGTACTGAGGGATGAGACAGGTGCAGTTATTACACATCCAGGCACAGGTTCTCTGGCTGCATTTGATATCTGTCCACATGTCCCTGAAAGAGGAGACTGGCACTCCTCCAAGAGCTGAACAGAGTGAGACCCACTGTTTTTCAGTATTTCCAGGTAATTTCTAGAGATGATAAAAACAGAAAAAGGAGGGATTCATTATGCCTTTTCATTCTTTTAACCGATAAACTCCCCTAATACCCTTAAATAAAAGAATATTAATTGATATTTTATTGTTGATAACTATTACTTACAGATTGCTGTTTATCAGGCATCCTATCCTTTTTGCAGACCCTAATTATAAAAACCTATAAGATTTTCCCCCATTTTACAAATGAAAAAAGTGAGATACAGAGATGTTAAGTAATTTGTCAAGTAAATACTAATTGTTAGAAATCTGATAACAAAACAGAGCCTTTTAAATAATTTTTAAACCAATAGTAAAGACTATGACTACTTTATGAACTAAGTTAACATAAACTTTTAGTTATGCTCTTATTTGTGGAACTTAAATCCTGACATTCTTTGGGGATTCTGCATTTTTAATAAATTATGTAAGTTTTTTCTATAAAAAAAAGCCCAGGGGAATACTTTCTGACTTACATTATCACCATTTTTACAAGGAATCCTTGAGGAGTAATTCTATTAGCCATTATCTTTCAGGTATTGGTTTTGTGTGTAATTTTTTTTTTCTTCTCTGCCTATGCTATCTCCAGAATTACAGTGGCAAGTTATCTGGTGTAACTTCTGGTTGGAATGCTTATAAAAAATAATTGTGATCAAACAATGTTTTATCATTTTTACTGTGTGACAGGAATGAAGCAGTCACTATATCGTTCTAAATAAAAACAGTCTGTGCTACATAATTCCAAACCCATCTTGGGTTTTCATTCTGATAATGTTATGCAATGGATAATAATAATAAACATAGTAATGCTTATGGTGTTTCTTCTCATACTCCTTTAACTTTACTAATCTAGTCATAGATTTCAAATGTAACTGGCTTAAATAATTCAAATGCTTTTAGTAAAGAATGCAGTTACTTTCTGCTTTATTACCAACTTAGCATCATGGTGACACATAGTGCAATAATGGTTTATTCTTTCTGTTTAGATGTTTGGTAACTGGACATTTGGCTCCTTGGTCTTCACAGTAATGCTTATTACAGTCACAGTAAAGGTATGGCACAGAAATTAGACAGATGAACACACTTTGTATATGTATAATTCATAGTTAAATTTCTTTAGCCATAGATGCATATTTTTCCTTTTTCCTTCTTTAGTCATGAATAATTTTACTGATTGCTATTTAATAATTCATTTTTGTCAAAAATATTTTTTTAAGTTCATTATTTTGAAAACCCTCTGCTGATTATTATGGTCAATAAAGGTTAACCCCACAGTACTCATCTCTGAAATTTTGCTTCTCTGTATATAATGCATGACAACACAAGTTGTTTCAGGCAATGGAGTTGAAAATATTCATGAAATTTCAATGCTTTTTTCTCACAGAAGAAAAATATTATAAACTTTAATTGTTCAGTTTCATACTAGGATCCTTGCATTAATATTTATCTTCTAAGAAACTTTGTCATAGGAACCTTACTTATAATTAATATATTTCATTCATGATTTTTATCTTGGCGGTTAAAGACTTGTATTAAGGATTTAAACATATTTTTCCTTTTAGATGGCTTTGGAAACTCATTTTTGGACCTGGATCAACCATTTTGTTACTTGGGGATCCATTATATTCTATTTTGTATTTTCTTTGTTTTATGGAGGGATTCTCTGGTGAGTGATTATATTGTATTTTAATTACATTGATTCAACTCTAATAAATACAGGGTGGGCAAAAGTAGGTTTACAGTTATTAGTATGGAAAATAATCCTATATAATAAAGAGCTAATATGCTAATTAAACCGAAAAGCAGAACGACCGTCCGGATGACCTTCCGGATGAAGCCGGGGCTGCGAGGGCCAGCTGAGGCTGTGAGGGGCTGTGAGGGCTGAGCCCCTTGCACAAATTTTGTGCATCGGGCCTCTAGAAGAATAAACTTTAGTGTACTCACAACTGTAAACCTTTTTTGCCCCACCGCTGTGTTGTGATAGATTTTATTTTGAACAAATAATCTTGAGGTCCTACAAATTTACATCTTTCAGTTGATCTTACTGATATAGAGTAAAAAAGAAACTAACAATTACTGAATATTATATTCTAGGTGTTTTACCTAAGATATTACATTGATTCATCACTATAATCTTATACTCTCCATATTTTCTATATGGAAACTGAGCCCCAAGATTCCAAAGGTTAAAAAAGAACAGAGCTAGTATTTAAACCCCAATTGTTTTATTCCACAATTAATGTCCTTAACACTAACCATATTTTCTCTAAATTATTTACTAATGTACATACTATAAAGTCACATTGAGCCATTAAGTTTTCATGAATGACAGCTTTTCTGTTAAAACTAAATAGTATGCTTCATCTTCATTGGTAAATTACCAATCATATTTTCAGCTACTATGATAGATTAAAAATTAATGCCTCTTCTAAGAATCTTTTATAAGTGATGAACAACTAAAGTCTCTCATTTGGAGAATTTATAATACATTTGCCTGCTGTGCCTTTGATCCCTGTATTGGGCAAAAAATTATAGAAGATAAGCAAAAAAATTTAGATTAGCTAAATAATTATCTTCCACTTAGGACCATAGAAGGATACTCTTATGAATAACACTTTGTTTATAATGTTTGTTTTTAATGTTTTTTATTTTTTTCATTTCTTTCTCTGTTTCCCCATTTTTAAATATATTTGTAGAGAAGAACCTCTAAGTAGAACTTTTCAACCTACGATTTGGATAGTCGATCTTTTAATTGCTTAGTAGAGAATATTTTATTGCATACTTTTTCTTGTGTTTATTGGTCTCTTAAGTCTGTATTACTAAGTAATTCTTTTGATATCCTACTAAGATAAGAGTTATCTAGTCAACTACTTGCCACTTTCCTAATAAAAACTATAGTTGTCATTGAAAGTAATTAAATTGAATTTTATTTTTAATAATTAAAGTCTGTCTTATTTTATTAGTTACTAGAGGCCCAGTGCACGAAATTTGTGCATGATGGGGGTCCCTCAGCCCGGCCTGCACCCTCTCCAATCCGGGACCCCTTCGGGGATATCCGATCCCTCCAGGATCAGGCCTAAACCAGCAGTTGGACATAGTATTTTCCATACTATTATATAGGATTATTGTCCATACTAACTGCCTGCCTGCCTGATCACCCCTAACTGCTCCCCTGCCGGCCTGATTGCCCCTAATTGTTCCCCTGCTGGCCTGATCACCCCTAACTTCTCCCCTGCTGGCCTGATCACCACTAACTGCTTCTTTGCCTGCCTGATCACCCCAACTGCTCCCCTGCTAGCCTGATCACCCCTAACTGCTCCCCTGCTGGCCTGATCGCCCCTCACTGTTCCCCTGCTGGCTTGATTGCCCCTAATTGCTCCCCTGCCACCCTGATTGCCCCTAACTGCTCCCTTGTCTGCCTGATCGCCCCTAACTGCTCCCGTGCCTGCCGGCTTGATTGCCCCTAACTGCCTCTGCCTGCCTGTCTGATCGCCCCTAATCGCCTCTGCCTGCTGGTCTGATCACCCCTAACTGCTCCCCTGCCGGCCTGATCGCCCCTAATTGCTCCCCTGCTGCTGATTGCCCCTAACTGCACCTCTGCCTCGGCCCCCACCACCGTGGCTTTGTCAGGAAGACGTCCGGTCTATCTGGTCTAATTAGCATATTACTCTTTTGTTAGTATAGATTTAGTTAATTACTGGTTCTAAATTTTGAACATTATCCCAAACTTGTATTCCAAATTAAATTGTAAACGTGCAAATATAGTGGGTTTGTAAACGCACATGTAAGACCACATGACTTTATTTAAGAAACCCTTATCGGTTTCTACTTTTATTAATCCCACTTCCTTTCTTTGCAGGCCATTTTCAGACTCCCAGAATATGTACTTTGTATTTTTTCAGCTCCTATCAAGTGGTTCTGTTTGGTTTGCTATAATTCTCATGGTGGTTATGTGTCTGTTTCTTGATATTGTGAAGAAAGTATTTGACAGACATTTCCATCCTACAAATACTGAAAAGGCACAGGTAACCATTTTTATATACAAAATCTTTTATTTAGGGGTCATTAACAATGAATAGCTATCATTATAATTTGCTTATATCAGAAAATAAATTATTCATTTCTGTATTAAGCATTTTACAGTGTAAATATTAAGTCTGATCTTTTTAAAGTTATTTCTGTTAATTGTATGACTCCTGAGACATAGTAGATGCTTAAGAAATAGAAGCTATTTAGTTGCCTGTGCCTTGTTTGTATATTTGACTTGTACATGAACCAGAATTCTATCTGATTAATTTGTCTTATTACTATACCATAGCATTGAACCCATAGGCTCAAGAATACATTCTAATTAGCTTTTATGCTGTAATAAACACTGGGATTTTTTAAATCTAAATTTGGAAATTTAGTTACATATTCTATAAATAGAATGTATTCCCTAAGTAAGGATTGAGTTAGGCTTCCTAAGTGGTGCATTGGGTTTTTGTTTGTTTTGTTTTGTGGTGCTTTTTTTGTGAATGCTCACCTACGGATATTTTTTCCATTTTTAGAGAGAGTGGGCGGGAGGGGAAAGAGAGAGAAATAGAGAAAAAACATCGATGTGGGAGAGACACATCAATTGGTTGCCTCCCACACATGCTCCAACCATGGCCTGGGATCCAACCTATAACAGCGGTACATGCCCTTGACCAGGAATCAAATCCGTGACCCTTTGGTGCTTAGGCCGGCACTCTAACCACCGAGATACCGGCCAGGGCAGCATTGGTTTTAATTTCAGTGATCATATCAACATTTCTTTAGCCTTTATTTGCTTTGGTAACTCAATCCTAACCAATATACATTTTAACACCATTGAAGCAGCATAGGCCTCCGAAGCCTGGCAAACTTAATTCAGATGCTGTTTTAACCATTTATGTGTGCCTTTAATCAAGTCATTTTCCTAAGCCTCAATTTCCTCCTCTGTAAAATCAGAATAATAACTACTGTCATACATGATTCTTAGAGATGATGAATATAAAACACGTAACCCTGGGCCTGTATGTAGTAAGTCCTCAGTAAAAACATAATTAGCCTTCTATCAGTCAGGGCACATACAAGAAACAACCAACAATACATAAATAAATGGAACAACAAATTAATATATATCTCACTCTCTCTCTCCCTTCCTGCCTTCTTTCCTCCCTCCCTCCCTCTCTTCCCCTCCCTTTCTTCTATCTCCCTGAAATCAGTTTTTAAAAAAAACATAATTACAAGAATGATGAGGATGTTGCTCTGTGATAATTGATCTCCAAATAAGGTTAAATAATTGTCATAATCTTATTACATATGCATATATTTATATCAGTATGGAAAAACTTTTCTACTCTGTAGTCCATTACTTAAATATATATCAGAAAAGTTTACCTACCTTTTTTTAATCTTAAGAGATAAATATTTACACTAACAGAAGAATATTTTTAATAATTGCCTATTATACTTTTTATAGACCTTTATGAAGATTACACATTGGTCTTCCCCTTTGGTCTATAGAAAGTTATATTTCACCAAAATATATTAATGACATCACTTTAAAAACTATTCTTATTTTTTTTATGTTTTTCTTGATTTGAGAGAGAGAGAGAGAGAGAGAAACATCACTGATGAGAGAGAATCATTGACCTACTGCCTCTTGCACAATAGAGCCTGCAACCCAGGCATGTGCCCTGAGCGGGAATCCCCGGTGACCTCTTGGTTCATGGGTCGACACTCAACCACTGAGCCACCCCGGCCAGGCAAAACTTTGTTCTTTATAAAAGTAAATAATTAGATTTATTTACATTTACCTTTAGAAATTCTATAATAGGCAGTGCATTTGCAAATTATGATGTATTTTCATAGACTTCTTAATAATAAAGGTGATAATATTAGTTCTTGTTACCTTTTTGATAGCCTCTTTCTAAAGGATTACATAGAAATATTTTGTACCTTGAGGATCCTTAGACAAAAAAAGGTTGAAAGTGCTTTATTTATATTGTGGTTCTTTAACCATAAGTTAAAATTGATTAAGAATGGAATGTGTAATAAATCACTCATTCTATCTGTGTGTGAAAGCTGCCATAATCTCCCTTTTTTACTTTCAAATGACTTGACAGTGTTCTATGTTTTCTAATCCAAAGAGGAAATCTCTGCTTCACTCAGGAATCTTTTGTGTTTTGTTTTTTTCTTTCAACAGTATATGGCCATTCAGATCTCATGTGTAACATTATTCCTTTGCTGTAAGCAGTAATCTTTATTATTTCAGTCTTATACTTTGACCTCTGAGTTCACATGATGAAGAATAATTAGAAAGTTGTCAGCCACTTTATTGTTTACCAGAAATATCAAGAAAAATCATATCAAAAGAAAAGTTGTCAGCATTTATTTTGCACTTTGTTTTACTCCAGAATAACAGTGTGGTGTTAAGCATGAAGAAAGCGAGTAACCCTACAAATTTCAGTCATGTATATATGCGATGTATGATATTTCCTGCTCTTATAGGGACAGAAGTGTCTTTATATAGCTTGTCCTGTGTCTGTCTCTCAGGTGATGAATACAGCTCACTGACTCTTTGTATGTCCCATCCCTTTTCTGTCCACTTATAGATGTACTCCAACACAGTTGCTTTAAGTGACGAGTTCATCGCACTGCAGCCATTGTCAAGGGCAAGGAATCAGCTGAGCAAACTTAGGTAGAGTAGGAGTAGAACCTTGATAACTTCTGCATGCTAAAGGTCAATTAAACACTATTTAAAAGATGGGCAGAGGCATGAATTAAGAGTGGGCCATTTTTTGTTAGCACAGCTCTGTCTCTAATTTGACCTTTATTAATATGTATGTTAAAACCTAAAAAATCCATTTTTTCATTGAGAAGAAAATTCAGCATAACAGGACAGAGATCTGTACCTTGTTATATATTTTACACTATTTTTTGTAGCACAATTCTAATGCTTCTGCTTGTCATATTCATATTTAAGAATGCTCCTGCATGTTGAGAAATTTAAGCTAACAAAATTCATCAAAATTTAAAGTTTTAAGTTTCTGTTACTTGAAAGTGAGAGTTGCTCATTTTTTATCTTGCCTTAATCGTGTTGTAAATTCATGTGCATATTTGTCTTTGTACATTGTAATGGCTGCTGAAGCATTTCATATCCTTGCTTCTGTTTAGTACATCTGTAAATTGAACATATATTTTATATCTCTTATATATACCTTTATCTCTACAGACAGGCCCATTCTGTCAGTTACCACAAAAACAACAACAACAACAACAACAACAAAAAAACCACCCAGTAACCTAGAGAAGTCTTTTGATGGAAGAAAATGAAAGCTTAAATCTTAGAACTGTTGGTATTAAGATACCAAAATCATATAGTGTTAACTTTAATTCCAGTCTGGTTTGAAGAGAAAAAGTAATATAACTAAAATATTTGTTTAATTTTGGCACTCTTCAGTTTCTCATTCTATCAGTATTTTGTGGATTCTTAATCATATATAGTATATATATCAGGTGTCCCAAAAAATGTATGCACACACTTTGAATAATTATAAAGGCAGTGTTTATTAAAATACATTTCATTTTCAATATTGAGCTATCAGCTGTTAAAGTATGTATACATTTTTTTGAATACCCTATATTTTTAAAGTCTTTTTTATTCTCAAGGTTTTTAATCTCTACATTCACTTGATCAAATAAATATTTTTGACAAAGCACCACTTAACCTCTTATGGAACTCTGTGAGTTTATAATTTTGAGCTGTTCTAAAGCTTTACCAAATCTTTTGAATTTATTATTAGCTTCAAGATTTTTGAAATATTCTACTTTGAATTACAGAGTTATAAAAATTATAGATGAATATATACAAATGAGTGTAAGTGGTAGTCAACTAAATTTTATGTTAAAAAAAAAAAAACTAAAACAATCTTGAAGATTTGTCTTCACCTTTGGTTGAGCCAAATATGTATATCACATTTTATCTGTATGTGCTTTTTTGAAAACAGTGGGTATTCATCATATATTTGAACATCTAATTAACTCTAAGGCAGTAGGAGAGCTCATTATTTAAAAAACACTCTTTTGTCAAGTAAAGATAACTTTTTCATTGAGAATAATCATAATATTTTTATGAAATCATATTTTACATATTCAGTTGACTTAAATCAAGCCACAAACAAAGGGTGAGGTAAAAAGGTCATAAACTAGAGATTTCAGGCTCCAATCATGTAACAAAATAGTAAGTTTGACATTCATCTGTACAAGAACACAGTGATAGCAGGCTATGTTGATTAGGCAGCCTTTGCTGCAAGCCACTCTCCAATCAGGTGGACTAAGAAAGGGGAGATAGTGGACTATCAAATACTAATGCTGCCCTCAGCACTGCTTCTTATATGTCCTAACCAAAGTAGTTCACCTCTCTGAGCTTCCAGGGTTCTCACCCATCGGGTGGTCATTTTACATACTGTGATTTATTCTGTACTATCAGTATCAAAGGAAAAAAGAAGAAATGCTGTGCTCAATCAAAGGCCAGGGAGAAATAACAGTTGCTTAAATGAGCAGCGAGTGACCACTGGGTGGGCGTTTGCTCACAGCTGCATGAAGAACATGTGCCCACATACATCTCCTGATGCATCCTATGACTTTTGAATACATCTTGGTTTTGAATTGCATTGAACTATATTGCTGGGTGTGATCCACGGTGGCTTGATTGTTTACAGAGAGGAAAATTATACAGATATCAAATACCTTTAAGAGATTTCAAATATTTAATCAGGTCAGTACCCTAAGAACCATTAACACAAAACTATTAGCAATTTTCTTTTGAATAAAAGAAAACTCATTTTGAGTATTTTCTTCTCCCCTGCATTATAGGCAAAGCTATTGTGAAAAGCTATCTTTATATAAACTTAATTGTACCCTTGAAACCAAAAAATTCTATTTGATTTTTTACATATGTATTTTTCATTGAAATAATTATTAGTCAGTTCTAAGACAGAAAATACATAGAAATGAGGAAAATTCTGTGTTTTATTCAGTGAAGACTTTTATAATTGTAGAAAGTTTCCAATTAGCTTGGCTATTTGTAAATAGGTCTTCTGAGAAGGGAGCATGAGAGGTGCAAAATGGGACGTATCTTTGCAATGAGAACCCTAAATCTTGGTGACAGGGAATTTGCTTAATAGAAGAAATTTAATTTTATCGAAGGAAACCTGGTTTTAATTTGTCCTTTGTGCACTGAAAAATCATGGCTTTATTTTGTGTGCTTTGTTGTACGCCCCGTAAGAAGCTGCTGCTAGCTCTCTTTTGTGATCGTGAATGAATGTAGTGGTGTGTGAACATTCATTTGTGCCTCACAGATTGTGGACCTCAACTTACTGTTTTGATTCTGAACCTGTACACAGTGAAGAGTATTGTCTGTAATATGAGACTTGTTGCTTTTCTGTCCTTCCAGATGGAAGAAGATAAGGGTTCAGTCAGCTCAGCATATGAATTTGCTGAAAGCAAGCACAGAGGGGAGGACAGTAGGCACCTGCTAGCTGAGGCTTGCAGCCAGCAGGACAGTTCTTACGTGCACTAGGTAGTACTGCGCTGGATCTTCCTGGGGACCTATCCGCTAAGTTCTCATGTGTGGGGCATGCTATGGGAGAACTGGCCTGAAATTGTAGTTTTACTTTACTAATTCCTCATTGTTTCTCACATTGTTGTTTTTGTTTACTTGTTTCCTTTTTTCTGATCGTTACTTTTTTATATGTCCATTCTGTATACTTTATTAATCTTCCTTTAGAGTTACACTGTTGAATCATACTTCATCTCAAATTCTAACCTAGTAAGGTATTTTTCACAACCTATTGTCTTATATTCAAGAAGTTATTCCTTGTCACTTCTTTTGAAAATATGTGATGCTATTTCTATTATTTCTGAAATCACTTTCCCACTTGAAGTTGTAGTTGTGTATCATTTTTCACATCTTAATGTAGTTAGACACTGAATTGCTTATCTAAGTCTACCTCTTGAATTGAATGATCATATGAATGAATTTTGGGATTGGTGCTGAATAGTTTTCTGTTGACTGATATTCACCAAACTCTCAGTTCTTTTCATAAACTTTAATAGTTATATCTTTGTAATAAAAAATAGTGTGAATTTATGAGGGCCTGATTAATAAACCCTCTTGAGAAATAAACCCTGACAACCTTATTGGGATGTGCAAAATATTCTGAGTCGTAGTACTTATGGAGGATAAAAATTCTCACCACTAATGTATTTTTACTTGATCTACTTACCATTTTGCATATTGTACAGCATGTCCTTGAATAATATCATTTCATTTAATGGCTTCTCATTGTAACATTAATGAGATGCTGTAGGAACTTAACTCTTGTTTATATCAATCATCCTATGATAAAATTGGTTTCATCATATGTCATTTCACTTCAAGTCCCACAATCCTATCAATGACTCTTAAATGAGGCCTTACTGTAATTACTGGTCAAGAAAGAAGGTGCTGTTGTCTCATCTGGGGTAAATCCTAATAAGTGGTGAAACTTTAAAAAACCCCACTATTTATAGATTGTAAATCAAACCATGGAACAGGTATAATAATATGAAAAACAACTTTTTAAAATTAGATTCCTTTAGTGAATTGCCCTAAATGGGAAAATGTTGAAGATAATTAATCAACTCTCGGTTATTATTATTAATTGAAAAGAAATTTAAAAGAATTCTGAATTTTTATTTTGTTTTGAATGCAAGTTTGAGTGGCTATTTTAAAAGACATGGGTCTGGTGCACCTTCACTTTTATATGCCCATTAAAATGTACAGTACGGTTGAGAATTGGGTTCTTAGAATGTTGCTATTAAATAACAGGGGCCTGGTTACTTTTTTTTTTAAACTTTGTTACTTTTACAAAGTGAATTTTCTCATCATTCTCTTGACATTTGGTCTCTCTTCCTATAAACAAGAAGCCAGAAGAATCCTCAAACTATGAATATGACTTTAGTAAAATTGCTGGGGGTAAAACCCTGATCTGCAGTTTTTCTCTACTTCTCACAGAATTTTAATTGGTTGATGAAATATAACCTGAATATTTTTCTTCTCATGCATTTTTGCCTTTGGCATATGTTTTTTAGATAAAAATTACTTGTAAAAATAAGTGTTATATAATATCCTCTTATTTTTTTCTGTCTTGCAATTGCATTTTTTCCTGCACTCAAAATTTGGTTGGCCTTTAAAATCAGACAGAAGGCTGTCCTGCGCCCTGAATGTTGCAGTGGGCTCGGGTCTTCTAGTCATCTCCTTCTGCTGTCACCAGCCTCGCAAGCCTCCTTTGCTTTGTCATTTTTTTGTCTGCATTACTGCTGTGAATGCCCTCTTTCAGGCTGTATCTAACAACCACAGGGATAGCAATAGGATGCTATGGCTACTGACCTTTCTCATTCTGGAACCAGGTGCTCACGCCTTAGACCCGAAACCTGCCACTACCAAAAAGAGAATACATTTTATTTATTTATTTTTTTAATATATTTTATTGATTTTTTACAGAGAGAAAGGGAAAGGGATCGAGAGTTAGAAACATCGATGAGAGAGAAACATCGATCAGCTGCCTCCTGCACACTCCCTACTGGAGATGTACCCGCAACCAAGGTACATGCCCTTGACCAGAATCGAACCCGGGACCCTTGAGTCCCGCAGGCCGACACTCTATCCATTGAGCCAAATGGTTAGGGCAAGAGAATACATTTTAAACAGTTTCAAGTAACTGCAAGTCACTTTTCTCTATTGTGACAAAGGTACAGATACTGCCTCATTTTACAAAGCAGTGAGAGAAAAACCTTAATGGCTAAAAGACTAATTAATATTAATAAGGCTGCCACCTGTGGCAGGAACTAGATGCATGCCTGATAAATATGGCTGACAGTTTATAAAACTAGTATTATTTTCAAATGTGTGCTGACTTACTGAACAGCTGGAGGTTAAAATGAAGGAAAATAATTAGTATTGACATTATTTCTACCAAACACTTTTCCTGTGACATGCTGTAAAATGATACTTAGAAAACTGAATTCTTAATATCAGCTCTGCCATGACTTGGTGCATTAATTAGTGCTATTTTGCTTTACCCCCTCCATCAAAAGTAAGGATCTTATCATTTTTCATAGATACTGATACTTTTCTTCACCTAAACTACAAATTCCTTGTTATATATTGTTATTTATGTAACCACATTATTAAAATAAAGGAGTTCATCTTTTTGAAACTAGGAATAAACAAAATTATTAAAATAAGCTTACCTTAAAATATAATTATTATATGCATATTTTCATAGTTATATTTAGGCAACACATACAGAAATCTCCTCCTCTCAGGAGATCCCTCAAAGACAGTGTGGAGGTATTCTACCTATATTTATAACTATCTTTCCAAGTTGTTTATTTTACTTGGAGAGAAGGAAAGAAGGAAGTTTAGAGGAGTGACTGTAAGCTTGAGGCATGTTTTGGAGAAATATGCCTTGAGTAAGACAGAACAGTTATCTAACTGCCTGCATCAAATGGCTGCCTGTTGCAATTCTTAATTATGAGATGAAGCTATTACTTGTTTTAGGGATGTTATTATTCTTAACCAAATTTGGAATCAGTAATATTTTATGACTTGATTTTATCTTTAAAGGAAAAACATTTTCTTAAACACAAACTTTTTCTCCTTTCATAATTATAGTTTAAGGCTCCTTTCCAAATATCTCCTTTAAGGCTATGCAAGGCACTCATTTTGAATATCAAGTATATAAAACAATTTTAAGGACAGAAGAACAAATACGGCTAATAGCTTGATAATTATTATCTAAACTTAAAAACATTACTTGATTTGATAGGTAATATGTAATAAAGTGATTAAAAGATTTAGAAATGTATGAAAATTTGTTAATATATAGGAGATTTAGGGAAGATATTTTGTAGAAGTTTCTAATAGGAGAAACTTCTAAGTGTTTACCATCACTGATATAAAAATAACGGAAATAGAGCCGTGAGCCAAAATTTATTTCGAAAGGCAAGTTCTGTAAACATGAAAATTGGTATTAGCCATACATAGTCATGTTGAATCTCCGTAGTTGTTTTGCTTGGGAGCCTTTCAAGCTCTACATGACGTGGTGGTTCCCAGGAAGAAAGTGGTGGAGTGTGTCTTACAAATTAATCAAAATTTCTCATAAATTAAAAGTTACTTCTTTGTGCCACCAGGTAGGATCTCACTTCCATTACTATACTTTTCTTTTTTAGTATTTACAATTAGTGAAAAAAAGAAAAGTACTGATTTCCTCTTTAAATGCTATACCCCATTTCCACCACCAGTTAGTTATACTGGCAACTGTGGCAACATGTACTCTGGCTGGGCTCCTAGTTCCTGAATATGAGATCAAAGATCTGTATGGGAAAGTGATAGAGCTTGGAAGTTTGCTGGACAACAGCGTGGTGTTATTTTATAGATCTATACAAAAACACAATTAACTAGCATTCAGCATTTTCAAAGCAGCTGGGGGTTTTTGTGTGTTTTTTGGGGGGGAAAAAAAAAAAGAAACATTTTTCTTAATTCAAATGGTGATCCTAGGAAGTCATTTCTTTATATTATTTTTGACATTTCAAGATGTTTACTCTGTTGGGTTGCCCATGTATTAATACCTGCCCTTCGATTTTAAAGTGAAAGGTGATGAATGCAAAGCAAGATCATTACCTAATTAGTGCTCTGTCCATCTAGCTGCTGACTTTACAAATGTCATCTTCAGTGAGTTCCCATCAGTTGATTGAGCACCAGCTCTACAGGCAAAGCACAGTTGTTAAACTCTTTGATCTCTCTAGTTTCTGGTCTAGTTCAGTGCTTCCCAGGCAAATGTGGTGCACGACAAATTAGTTGTTTGCTTGTTTTGTTGTTTTTAATTTCCAGTCCATCACAGACCAATACTTTTATAAAATACAATAAAAATTAATTACTAGGAAATGAAATTTAGAAGATATATAAAATAAACCCCAATTTTTAAATTGTTTTTAGATTCGACAGTTATAAAAGTATTATGTCAAGTACTTTAACATTTTCTAATCTTTTATTCTCAGAGTCCAGAAACACTTATATCCTCATGAGTCAGCAATTATTTTTGGATAATACTGATTTATGGATCATGCGTTGAGTGCAGGAGTAACAACTACTCTCTCTATGCTTAGGCTAAACGTACTAAATACACATCATATTTTCTGCCCACACACAATTACTACTCATTGTCTTCACTTAGCCTGGAGTGCTCGCTCTCCGCCATCTGCAGCTATTGAAATCCCATTCAGTCATCATGGTGTATTTCAGGTGCCATCTTTTTCACCATATCTTTCATGCCCGCCCACCAATACCATCAATAGCTGGGTGTGAGTTTTCCCTTCTCTTTTTTGATATTTATGGTCTGCCTCATACCAAATTATAAGAAGGCAGTATAATGTCATGGTAAAGAAGTTTGGGCTCTGGAATCAAAGAAACCAAGACTCAAGCTCTAGCTGGGTGACCTTGAACAAATTCTTAACCTCTGTTTCCTCATCTATAAAATGCTTATGAATATGGTGCCTATCCCAAAAGGTGGTTATAATTCTTAAATGAGATAATCCATGAGAAGCATCTTACATAGGAGGTGGCACACACGGAATAAGCATTCCATTACTTGTTCCTGATTTATCTATTATCTTTTATTAAGCACAGTTCCTTGCTTAATAAATATAAGTTGAATTTAAGTGTTTGTGTCATTTAAGTGATGTCAACAGGCAGTGGAATAGAATCCAGAAGGAGATTACCTGATAGTTGGAGAAGTGAGGGGGATTTCATGGAGATGATGGTAATTAAACTGAACTTGGTGTAGGGGTCAGCATTCTGACCCTGATTGGTGGCAGGCCCTGACATGTAGCCCCCGGCAAGGAACACTGCCTAGTTGGCAGTGTGGAGACTACAGGAACACTGGTAAGTTAAGCAGGAAAGGCAGCCTGAGGTCAGTTTATATAGGGCCTTCAGGGTCTCCAAAAGGTGTTGTACTTTCTCCTTTGAGCATTATGTGGGAGCTATGGACTCCTGCTTTGTACAGAGGGCGATTTTGAGATGGTGGAACTGGAGTCCAGGGACCCAAGGAGGAAACTGATGAAATCTTGTTACCTAAACCAGCATTTCCTAAACTATTCCTCTGAATATTATCATTCCTCCTGATGTTGATTAATGTTCCCTTGAGGATTGGGGGCTGTTATTAGAAAAAAAACACAACAAAAAACGAGTTTCAGAATTGCTCTTCATCTCACTACCCCCTTGGAGACTGACCATGCACACTGAATCAGACAATCCTTTACTCAGACTTTTGTTGAATGATGTTTCCTAAACTAAATTGGCCACAGAACTTTTTTCGTGAAATTGTAAACATCTCACATTTTTAAAAAACATATATTTCTTTATTGATTTCAGAGAGGAAGGGAGGAGAGAGAGATAGAAACATCAATGGTGAGAATCATTGATCAGCTGCCTCCTGCACGCCCCCTACTGGGGATTGAGCCCACAACCCAGGCATGCGCCCTTGGCTGGAATCGAACCCGGGACCCTTCAGTCCGTGATGCTCTATCCACTGAGCCAAGCCGGCCAGGGCAACATCTCACATTTTAAGAAACAATACTGTGAACAGCCTAAACCAAGGGTATTGTAAAGGAGAAAGGAAAATTTGGCTATTTCTCAGTGCTTACCAGATCCTAGGACATTGGTGCAATCGGACAATTCCCAATCGGGAACTATGTTGACTTGCACTGCTTGGTATTAGGTAGAATTACTCTGTGCAGGGATTTTGCAGGGCTTCACCAGTTGATTAGGTTCATTCACAATGCCAGGTTATTTGCATTCCACCCTGTCCATCTCTTCTGTCCATTGTGAGTGTCTCCACAAATGTCCCCCATTGTCATGCCTGCTCTCAACACTTGGTGATTCCCAACCTTTGTGAATTACAACCCTCAAATGAATCTATTTTTCTTGTTTTTCCTTTATATTTTTAAAAGATTTGTTATGCAATATGCTATATATGTAAAGTAAAGTGAATGAAAATAAGTTTATTTAAAATAACAAACCTTGAGAAATTTAGCAGTACTCTTAACTATCAAAACCAGGTTTGGGATTCATTGAACTATGTGTCATACCATTTTTTCCTCATTTAACAGGATTAAAATTATTAGTAGTATGGCTTAAAGTTATCTTGTTGGGTTTATTTATGCCTGAATCAATATAAATCTTGCATACTTTCAAGAATTAATTTATTTTAAATCAATAGTACTACTTAGTCACTTGTTTAATTGATTTTAATACATATACCATCAGTTAACTTTTTTAAAAAATTTGAGCTGATTAAGGACATGGTTGGCACTTAAGAGTTGCTCAGCAATTTAAGGTAAATTATGTACTTTTTTCAAGGACAGTTATGAAGTGAATATATGTAAGTGCTTAGAACCTGGCATATAGTAATACTACATTAAGTATCTGCTACTATTTTTGTTGTTACAATTATTGTGGTTGTTGAAGGTTGGGATTAGATCCTGCCTGGTTGTTATTTCCCAGTCTTCAAAATAGTTCACACTCCATTTTTCTTGATTGCTAGACATTTTTAGTTGAAATTACAGGAGCATTTCACCTAAACAAAAACTCAAGAATTACAATTCATTATGCTTCTGAGTAGTTGATGTAATTTTGACCATAATAAAATATTGACATTAAAATCCAAAATCTTTGCAGATTTAAATAATGTTCATTGTTTTTGTGTAATTATTTTACTTAACCTCAAATTTAAATATTTTGTATAATTACTCTTAAATTAAGCCTTTCATACCATACATCTTCATATTGTAGAAAATATGCTTATATACATTACTTTTAGTTTTAAAGTGCTTGTAATTTTTAATGCTTTTTGAAAAAATAACTAATTTTTTTCTGCTGCAACTTCTCCAGCTTACTGAAACAAATTCAAGTATCAAGTGCTTGGACTCCATGTGCTGTTTCTCAGAAGGAGAAACAGCGTGCGCATCTGTTGGAAGAATGCTGGAACGAGTGATAGGAAGATGTAGTCCGACCCATGTCAGCAGGTGTGAAATTTCTCTAAGTAGCCTTTGCTGCAGATGAGTGTCCTATAAACTGGAACAGATGAACATGCATCCCTAGATACCTAATAAATCAGCAGCTGGTTTTACCAACTGAAGCAGGAAGTGTGCTATTTATTAGCACTCTTTGATGGTAGATTTCACTTTATGGCTTTGGGTAAGGGGTTCTTTCACTAACAAAGGAAGAGAAAGCACCTTTGAAGAAACTTTTCATCTAATGAACAAAAAATTTTGCTTCTTAATCTTTCTAAATGTGGTAAATAGGAGTGTGTATATGGTATTCATATTTGGTTTTTATAACTTTTTACTATGCTGTTTTCTTATATATTTTTGTTTGGTTGGATTTTGTATTTATAAAATAATCGACATATAATAGTAAAATCAAAAGATTTTGCTTTTCTTATTCTTGGTCTATATTTTCTAGTCAGTCATTTGAGACTTTGAGGTATTTATAAACACACAAGACTGTATTGCTGTTTTCCTACTCCTTTTTATCTCTGTAATAAGGTTTATAATCAGTTGTGATTTTTAAGTTTTTACTTGGTATTTATGGTCTAATTAAAAGTTGATAAGCTAGAACAGGCTCTTTAAATTATGATTTATTAGAATCTTTGCATTTTTGTCTCCTCTAAAATCTATTTCTTTTTTTATAATATATTTTTTATTGATTTCAGAGAGAAAGGGAGAGGGAGAGATAGAAACATCAATAATGAGAGAGAATCATTGATTGGCTGCCTCCTGCACGCCCCCCCCACTGAGGATTAAACCCACAACCTAGGCATATGCCCCTGAAGGGAATCAAACTGTGACCACCCGATTCATGTGTTGATGCTCCATCACTGAACAATGCCAGCCAGGCCCAAATCTATTTCTTAAAAGATTTATCGGTGCTTGCTTTTGTGGGTCACAACAAACAATGCAGTTTTTTGGTAAATTCTACTTAAATTTATTTGAAAGTGAAATGTATTCATTTCTTCATACATTTCCCCAAGAGACATATCATTTAGGTGATATTATTATTTAGGGGATATTAAGGAATAGCAATAACTTTTCACACTTTGGTGTTCTTTAGGTAGATGATATCATATTCTTAAAATCAAAGCAGCAATGCACTGGTGTGCATGAAGGGTTACAGATGAGCAGGGATAGATGGTAATTTCCATTGTCCTTAGTGCACCATGTGAATAGTATCACTTTCTGTATGTGCCATGACTTGGAAAAGGTTGGAAAGTATAGTGAGAAGGGGAAAAAAACCAAGCTGGTGTGGCTCAGTGGTTGCGCATCAACCCATGAACCAGGAGGTCACTGGTTCCATTCCCAGTCAGGACACATGCCTGGGTTTCGGACTCGAGCCCTAGTGTGGAGCGTGCAGGAGGCAGTGAATCAATGATTCTCTTTCATCATTGATGTTCCTATCTCCCCTTTTCCCTTCCTTTCTCTGAAATCAATAAACTCATTTTTTTTTTTAACGAAAGTACAACAAGAATAGCGAATGAAGGGTGGAGGAGGCACAACTCTTATCTGTTGATAAAGGAATTTTTCGTATTTGGTTAGCTTTATGTTTTAAAAATGATGAGTATGATATTCATGTATGATAAAATTCAGGTAACTTTTACTGGTGAACTTGGTAGTTCCCACTTTGCCTGTAATTGTAGCCATGTCGTTATGGTACAGTTGCATTTGTAAATAGCTTTTTTATGTTAATATCATGTCTGTCGTTTCAGTCCCACTTATTTATCATAACATATAATCAAAAATATTCTCATAATGCTGTGATATCATTTTGTAATAATTTTATTCCACATAATAGAATTATTATGAGCAGTTAAATTTATTGGGACTTACATGTTATAACTTACACAATTGTATTGTAAAATGCATTATAAGAAAACAGCTTTGTCATGTGCCAGGCCAAAAAGTTTCCCAAAGGAAGTTCCCAAAAGACTTAATGTATATTATTTTACTTACTAAGCCAGCTTCATTGCATAGAACTAAGGCAGGAGTTAGAATAAAAGAATACTATAGATATCTATAATACTATCAACTATAAATATATATGTATAGATATATCTATTTTTTTTTTAAGAATACTGTAGAAAGTCACAGAATTTTAAAATTTTCTACCTTCAGCAGGAAGTTCTCATTAATGACAGGATACATCTTCACTGTTACAAAAAACTAGAATTGATTTTAAATGAACCAAAAATATTTTTCTGCGTTATATATGCTCCCACTTTCTTGATATTAATTGTATAGGTAATATGTCTCCATTATTTTTACATGGTCACTTTTTTTTACTGCATTATCCCTTTTGAGCCTGCCCCAGGCATTATGAGATTTATTTCGGCCTGTTCTCTTAAAGATGACTGTTATCATTTATACTTTTTTTCACTTAGAATTGTATCATATTTTTTTTGTAGGACTTTATTTTTTTAATAAAATCTTTAACAGTAATTAATATCTTATTTGACAGACTTTAAATATCTTTCTAATTTTGTCCAACATCGAAGGTTATAATTATCAGATGCTTCTTTAATTATCTCCTTTTTGTTCTTTAAATTAATAACCTAAAAAGTGTTTTGAGATCTGTTCACTTTTTTCCTAGTGGTAAAAATCATATAATATGCAAAACCAGTTGGTATTTTCAAAGGGCTATAGAAAATTGCCACAATTCCATTAAGATCATATTTGAACTTTGAAAGTATTTTGATACGTAGAGTTTTATTCCTGTTTTTTACATGTAATTGTATTCGTGAAATATTTTTGGCATTTCTGTTTTGATTTTGGAGCAGCTTTTATTCTACATTTCTATTTTATGTCTAATTTAAGGGCAAAGCTGGTACCTGTTACCAGATATAGAAATCCTTGGCCTATTCCATTAACATATTAAACATAAGAGGGCATCACTTCAGAAATATAACTAGTGCTTTTATAGGACAGATTTCTCTGCTGATAAACCTTTTACTATCCAGGCATAAAAATTCTACTTACATTTTATTAATTGATTGTCAAAGGAATTTGCCATTTTGCAAGCTTGTTTTCAAAGGTCGCATCAAGGTGCTATATGAAAGGCTATGGCATGTTTTACCCTAAAGAGCTGTACTTTAGCAATAAATGATTTTCTTTATGTGTTTTATCAACAGTTACTTCATCTTAATCAAAACTGTGTTCTAATTAGAAAGGAGTTAATAGTTGATATGTAATTCAGGTATTTAATGTTCTGTCAAATATGATATTTGACATGAATGCACATGTGTGCTTTGAAAAGAAAAATAAATGGAGGAAACCTTATCTAATAACATTTTTATGTAAGCAATAGTTGCAAAGAGGAAAAATTTATATTAAAAACATTGACAATTTGGGACTGGAAACTTGGCTCCAGATAATTGGGGTGTTGATATCATATATGTCTGAGCATACTTTTTTTCCTGCATGAATACTTACTCTAAGAAATGTTCATAGTTCTATTTCTTTCATATATTTTACAAATACTGAGTGCCTACTATATACAAGGCTCAGTTTTAGGTGCTAGAAATAGGGTAGTGAACAAGCCTTTCCTTAAACTAAGGTAGATACTGTTTAAGGTTTTCTGGAAACTAGTAAGTTCTGTAAACCATTGGTATGCTTATTGTTTGTTTTCCTCTTTGCCAACTTTGTAAAATTTCCAGATTCCAAACTTCATTATGACTACCCACTTAATTGATTTAAATTTGAACATACAGTCTCTCTTAGAACAGCGGTCGCCAACCTTTTGGACCTCACAGACCACCAGCGGTCCGTGGACCACCAGTTGGTGACCGCTGTCTTAGAAAACAGCAGATATGTGATAAAAGTGAATATGGGCCATTTTAAATGTTAATTTCTTCCTCTAACATCTTGGTTTAAGGAAAGTGGGAACCCTAGAAAATTACATAAAATGTATTTATTGTTAAATTCTTTTAGTCTTTTAAGAAAAGCCAGCTTTGACTTGGTAATCCTTAAAGCAGGTTAGGCTATTTTAAGCATGGCAGGCTATTTTTGATCTTGAGTTACTTAAGCTTAAATTAATACAGCTGCAAATAAAGTATTATATAATGAACTAGAGGCCCAGGGCACGAAATTCATGCACCGGTAGGGTTCCTAGCAGCTGCCAGCTGCTGGCCAGGGCCTCCCTTCCCCAGCTGCCAGCCGGGGCCTTCCTTTGTTTCGCGCTGCCCCCTGGTGGGCAGCACAGTCATAGCGAGCAATCAACTCTGGTCGGTCGAACTCCCAAGGGGACATTTTGCATATTAGGCTTTTATATATATAGAAGATTGCTTTATGGGCTTTATCATTAAGACAGTAGCTGACTTTTCCAGACCAGTAGAGGATCATTTGTTCTTAATTAAATGAAAACCCTAGTGTCAGACTTAGAGGTGTCTTTGATGCCTATTGAATAAATCATTTAAACTAATTATGCTAAAATCTTTAGAATAAAATTTATAGCTGAAAAGAAATAAATTAAGAACATACTGCTGTTTCATTCCAAAGTTTTTGGTAAGTGTGATATTTGTTTGCTTCTATGATGTCAAAATACAGCCTAGTTGCTTTTCAGTGCATAACTCTTAATAACATACTTATTTTTAAAATTAAGATTTTAAGAGAGTCTTATACTCTACTACCTATAGAAAATATTTTAATGCTAACGAATGTCTAAATTTTGGCTATTATTTTTATACTAGAGGTCTGGTGCACGAATCTGTGCACCAGTGGGGTCCCTCAGCCTGGCCTGCACCCGCTCACAATCCGAGACCCCTGGGGGATGTAGTAGTGCACGAAGCGGCAGGCGGGCGGGGAGGAGCGCGAGCCCGGGCTGGGCACCATGCCTCTCCCACTCATCCCGGCCCCGCCATGCCTGCTGCTGGTAGCACTGCCGCGGAGGCAGGAGAGGCTCGCGCCACTGTAGTTGCGCTCGCCAGGCATGAGCCTGGCGTCTGGCGCCCGTCAGTCAGCTGAGCAGTGCTCCCGTTATGGGAATGCACTGACCACCAGGGGGCAGCTCCTGTGTTGAGCATCTGCCTCCTGGTGGTCAGTGCACATCATAGCAACTGGTCACTTAGGCTTTTATATATATAGATAGATGATGATTCGAGCATTATTTTCCTCAAGTTTTGTATAATCTAAATGTTATGTTTATTAAACTCATCAAGTATTAAGAACTTCCTTTTAGCATTTAAAAATTAATCAGTGATTATTTTAATACTCAAATTGCATTTTGGTCCTAAGTTTTAGAATACATTTTTTTTCTCAATTAAAACATAGGTCCTGGTGAGCAAAACTTTTCTCTTATTGTTATTTAGATTATGGAGTGCATCGGATCCTTTCTATACCAACGACAGGAGCATCTTGACTCTCTCCACAATGGACTCATCTACTTGTTAAAAGAGCAGTAGTACTTTGTGGGAGCCATTCAACTCCTTTCCTAAAATTCAGTGTGATCATCCTGGTAATGGCCATACTAGTTCTGCAGAATTACTTTCTGAAATCTCTGTAGTTCATACCCACTCAGAGTTATAATGGCAAACAAAAAAGGATTTACATGAACCACTCTCAACCCCTTTAATTTAAATCTGAACGTGTTAAAGTTTGTGAATAGATATTTTCCATCTCTTTGTCTGGGTTGTCCCTTGTGTTTGTGGGACTCCTAATGGCATTTCAGCCTCTTGCTGAGGCCACCATATTTTAATATCAAGGTTAAAAAGATAATTCCTAGTTAATTGTATTTTTGAGTATTAGCTTACTTGGTGAGTCTTCTATTTAAATCTGCTTTTGCAAATTATGCTGAAAAGTTTGCCTTGAAAACTCTATTTTTTTATTAGAGTTATATTTGAAGCTTTTCATGGGAAAAGTAAATGTGAATAGTAAGAAATTTTGGTCCCTTAGTGACCCATGTTGTGAATTCATTACTGCTTTCTAAGTTCATAGAGAAAATTAGGAGAATGCATTTCTAACCATTATTTACTGCACTATGGGTAGTAAATATATACCAATACCAAGCTTCTCTTAATGTACTGTAACACACCGTAAAGTTAACCAGACACATGCAAAGTGTGTATCATATCTTAGACATAAATCAGGAATCAAGTCCATTCACCAAATTTCAAATTGATGTTTAATGATATTTTTATGACAATATAAAGTGGGTAAATTAGCTATCATTAGCATATTATTATTTGATGTGTTTTTCATTTAATCTTTTGCATGCTTTAATCTAGTTAATATATTTAAATTTGTTTTTTTCTCTATCTGAAAATTGTTTATAATATTTCATGTCACTGTTGTAAAGTTCAACTATATCAATAAAAAACAAGTTTGGACAGTATTTAAATATTGCAAACACGTTTAATTGTGCAAATCAAAATGTTGGAGTAATTAAATAAAAAATAAAGAGCCTCTTTCTGTGGCTTAGAATTACTCTTGCCTTTCAGTAAGTTAGATTATGGTATAAAGGATCTCAGACAAGAATCCTATTATTTTTAGGTTAGTATGTGTCATCTGAGTTGTGGCACACTACTATAGTAAAGGGAAATCTGTCCAGTGTTTCATTACAAGGTATATTTTCAGGTATGGCTATAGAATGTAAGTGAAACAAAGTCTAAAATGCTAAATTTTATGGGTTAATGGCAGCAATAAATTAAAATACTAAGAAAGATTGATTAGATATACATTGGGTTTTAACTCACTGCACTTGAATATTTAATTTCCATCCAGAATTTATCATGTAGATCCATTGTTTGTTACTTGTTTTGATCTAAAGTAATATTGTTTTAAAAAACATTTGGAAATTATTATTGGTTTAAGAACTCTTACCCAGCCCTAAGCATATTTAATGATTGTGTACGTATACATTTTAAACTTTATGGAAATGGTTAAATAAGGTTTTGCTAAAGTGTTCCATACAGTTGGCAATATAATTCTCTTTTGTAGATTTATTTTGCAGCCTTCCACTCCTTTCCCATTTCATGAATATACGACTTCTTGAATTGGGCTAATAGGGACTAGTCAAGAATTAAAACTTTACCTTTGTTCACTGGTAAACTATTTTCTTGCTAATATAACGTTTGTTTCAATAATGCAAGAATATTGTGTTATGAATTTCAGCTTAAATATTAATTTTCATAAATAGTCCTTCTTTAACTTAGATATTCCAAAATCGCTTTAGGAAGATTTTGTTATTCTGAAAATATGTTAAAGGGATAATAAAATGTACAGTGGCTACACTTACCAATTCACTTTCCAGAATAGGAAATATTGCTAAGAATATTCAGTAGGGTAATTTCATGGAGCATATTATGGAATTTGCTTTTCTTAGAATTTCTTAAAACAAAATGACATTCAGTGGCCTGCATTACATCTACCTAGTTGTGTTTATTTGCCATCAACAAGACTGACTACTGACACTAGAGAAGGACTACGAAGCCATCAAGCAGTCTCTAACCACTGCAGCAAGGCAAGTCAGCTAACCTGTATGGTGCTTGGGTTAAGGCGTGGTCGATGTAATTTCCTGCATTACTATTTGAAGTTATTTAAGAACTTTATATTTCAAAAAAAGTAAATGCATCTACTGATAATGCTCATCCTACTCAGTTGTTCATAACCTACTCCACTTAAAGGAAGATTATCTTATAATTGTAAGAAAAAGTGTTTTCTTCTATTTGTTTAAGAGAGTATCAGTGTTGCCTGTAAGTTTCCAATAGTTTTCTATTGCTAATACTCAAATTGTAAAACTATTACTACATAACCAGGAATCTCAGAAAATTTCCCCTTTGCATATTTATTTAAAATTCTTTGGAAAGTACGATGTTAATTAACTTACTCTTATCTGCCAAAACCAGAGTAAGCCGCTACATGTGTTATTACTAGTTCATTATTGGTCTCAAATCTATTTTCCTCACTTGTTTGCCTGAAGGATGTATCACTGAAGATAGTAGCAAGCACCAGGTCAGTTTCTGAAATGGCCCGTCAGCTGTTTTATGACTCAGCAAGCACCCTGCCACAGCTTTAGCAACCATTAGGTTCACCCTATGGGTGTAGGGTGTGGGCTAGTAGAACAACAGGTTTGCTGCCAGGTTGAGAATAAAGAAAGAGGAGAATTTACAGTGTGAATTCCTCTTAAAAACCATCTGCCTTGGGTTTTAATTTCCATTATATCCAAAGGCGTCCTAGACCTGACCCACTGGCACTGTCCTGGTGAGAAGATAAAAGAGTCACATCACCCTGTTAAGAAATACTTTTACTTACACCAGGGTATTTTCTCCTGCATAAAATTGTGAAATTGGGCTATTGGTCTTGTGTGATAAACTTGAGAGACTCTTATCTGATAGGCAGGAGTCAGTGTAGTAAAAAATTTAAATTTTACAAAGTTTTTCAAGTATGCTAGCCTAAAAAGTTATTGGGGTCTGAGGGAAAAGGGAGAATCATTCATGTTTGTATTTTTTATGTAAAGATCAATTTGGTGTAGGTATTGATAAAAGTAACACCAAAGAGTTATATAAAACATGTTTTATTAATTTTGGGTCCCCTTTTAGAGACACATTTCTATCCTGAAATGAGTTAATCTATTTTCATAAAAATAGAACATTGTTAATGTGCTGTTTATGTGAGATAACTTGAATGATATTCCTATAAAAATAGAGCATAATTATATGTTTGTAGTAATGGTGACTGCTGGATTTTTGTGAGGAATTAGTACCTGTAAATACTGTAGAAACACTTAGGTTAAAATTGTGGACCTCACACACTGTGGCTGTCTAATATAAGCCTATAAAAATTTTCTGCATTTTTAGTAAATGTAGTTACTATTGTACAGATCTCAGTAATTTTTAAAGTTTATGAAATTATATTTATCTAATAAAATTTTTCCTATATAATTAAAAGTGTTTTTTCATCATTTAAGCATGGTAAGCCTCTCTGCTCATCACAACCAGCACTGCCAGATTTGTGTTGAATTACATTTTACTACATTTACCCTGCGTTACAGTACAAGAATACCATTATGCTTTTCTCTAACTGCAGTTTTCAAAGTTGTTTGGTTACCCAGGTTTTATAGATGATCAGTACAACTCCTGAAAAAGGGGCCTGATAGAAGTGCACCAACTGTAAAGACCAACACTCATGAACTAGAAAGTGCATCTTTCATGAATACCTAGCCAGGGAGAATTTGGAAATGCCTTGGTCTATGGAAAATATATGCTTTCTTTAAAATACAACTGAGCCCTAGCCAGCTTGGCTCAGTGGATAGGATGTTGGCCTGTGGACTGAAGGGTCCCAGGTTTGATTCCGGTCAAGGGCCCATGCTCAGGATTGTGGGCTTGATCCCCAGTAGGGGCATTCAGGAGGCAGCCAATCAATGATTCTCATCAATGTTTCTCTCTCTTCCTCTCTGAAATCAATAAAAATATATATTTGAAAAAATGAAACATAATTGATAGTGCATATTTATATATAAAATATTCTAACCCTCTAATGACAGTTGTTATTCTGATGCTTGCACAGTTGCCAGTTAAAACACACATAATTGTTTAACCAACTTTCATTAAAAGGTAAGCTGTTATATTTGCCCAAATGTTAGTATTTGCAAAGGATGACAATGTATGATATATGTAATGTATTTTTATTTCTGAAATGAATATGATCCTGGACAGGTCACTTTAAGCATCTGTTTTTCTTTTAAAAGGAGGTAAGGGTTTAGACAGCCTTTAGGGTAATTTCAGTCTTCAGCTTTTATTACACAACTAGTAGCCCGGTGCACAAAAATTTGTGCACTCGGGGGTGGGGCGTGAGGGGTGGGGCCAGACCCCTCAGCCCAACCTGCACCCTCTGTCATGTTCCGGGACTCAAGCCACTCCTGGCCTAGGCACGGGCCTACAGGCTTGGGGCTGCCTGGCTCCCGAGGCCCCATTTTATCAAGAGAACAAAGTAGGCGTTAGTTACAGCCCTCACTGCACCGGTGCATACAACTGCCTCGTTCATGTGCCTGCTTCGCCCTACTGAATTACTGACATCTTGAGGACATAGCTCTTTCTTATCCTGCTTCACCTTCAGTACCTGGCCTGATACCAGGGACCTGAGAGGGTTTGCTGAGTGAGTGAATAATGAGTGAGTGAATAAGTGAATGAATGAGCGAGTAAGTGAATGAGCAAGCAGCTACAAGGCGGGAACTTCTGCATTGCCATGGCAACACAGCAGAAGTTCCGGCCCCACTCCCGGCTACCTGAAGCCCACCCCAGGAAAGTTCCCGCCCTTTTCCCAGTGGCCTGGCGCCCCTCTCCTGGCTGCATACTGAATTACTAACATCTTGAGGACATAGCTCTGTCTTATCCTGCTTCAACTTCAGTGCCTGGCCTGGTGCCAGGGACCTGAGTGGGTTTGCTGAGTGAGTGAATAATGAGTGAGTGAATGAGTGCGCAAATAAGTGAATGAGCAAGCAGCTACCGGTCGGGATAGTTTGCACTCCGCTCTGGGCTGCCTGACACAAACCCCGGGAAGTTCCCGCCCTGCTCTCAGCAGCCCCTCTCCCCTCTCCCTGCTGCATAGTTTGCACAGGGCAAAGGCGGCCCGGGTGCATTAGCACCCGCCAGCCTCGGATCCCCCCAGGAGGGCCATTTGTGGGCAAGGCCAGTGGCGGATCGGTGCATTAGCACCCGCCAGCCTCGGATCCCCCAGGGAGGGCCGTTTGTGAGTGTGGCCGGTGGCAGATCGGTGCATTAGCACCCGCCAACCCGGGGTCCCCCCAGGAGGGCCATTTCTGGGCGAGGCCAGTGGCGGATCAGTGCATTAGCACCTGCCAGCCTCAGATTCCCACGGGAGGGCTGCTTGTGGGCGTGGCCGGTAGCGGATCGCTGTTGTCCCGCCCACCAGCTCTGGGTCGGGTCCCATACGGGCCGCCTGCCGCCAGGGTCACAGATAGCAGGCCCGGATGGCAGCAGGGCAGGCGGGATGGTGCTGTCCCGCCCTGCCTGCAGTATGCAAATTAGCTGCCATCTTTGTTAGTGGTTAACCGCCATCTTGGTTGGCAGTTAATTTGCATATTGTCCTGATTAGCCAATGGGAAGTGTATCGGAGGTATGGTTAATTACCCTATTCATCTTTTATTAGATAGGACTAGAGGCCTGGTGCATGACATTCGTGCATGGGTGGGGGCAGTGTCCCTCAGCCCAGCCTGCACCCTCTCGCAGTCTGGGTCCCCCAGGGATTGGGCCTAAGCCAGCAGGTGGACATCCTCTTGCAGTCCTGAACCCATCGCTTCTTACCGCCCGCCTGCTCGCTGCTCCTTAGCACTGCTGCGGAGGCGGGAGAGGTGCTGCTGCGCTCACCAGCCATGAGCCAGGCTTCTGGCTGAGTGGTGCTCCCCCTGTGGAAGCGTACTGACCACCAGGGGGTAGTTTCTGCATTGAGCGTCTGCCCCCTGGTGGTCAGTGCGCATCACAGCGACCAGTCGTTCTGGTCATTCAGCCGTAATGGTCATGTAGGCTTTTATTACATAAACTAGTAGCCCAGTGCATGAAATTTGGGCACTGGGGGGGGGGGAGGAAAGGGGCCCCTCAGTCTGGCCTTCACCCTCTCCAATCTGAGACCCCTCAGGGAATGTCCGACTGCCTGTTTGTGCCCACACTTTTAACAGATAACAGCTCCATTGTTGTTTCTTTCTTATGCTTAAAACCATTGGAATTAGTAGGTATTCAAAGTGTGTATACATTTTGGGGGGACACCCTCTATATCTCAAGTCAGCGGTAAAAGAAACCAACAGCATATTTGGAACCTCCAGACAGGGAACCTCGCTCACTCCCCACATGTCTCCCTACTTCACTTTCCACCTTCGTGGGCAGCAGGAGAATCAACGTTTTCTCTCATTAATTCGGAAAAGCACGTCCTGTCACCCGTTGCCTGGCAGGAGTGCGCTAGGCCCCAAGCAAGCAAGGCTCAGTCAGGGCAGCCTTCGCTCATGGGTGCTGGCACCCAAAGTGCACATTCCTCCTCTACAGTCGCCCCGACTATCCCACTGTTTCACTGAGAGGACGGAATTCCTCCCCACCTCTGGGTTCTTGATCTTGAACACTGACTGAAGGCACCTCAGAGAGGGCCACCCGCGCCCACCAGGTCTGTCTGCATCTGCTCCTGCCTCAGCACCTGCATTAACCCCCTAGAGGTGACCTCGTAGCTGCACTGGCCTCCGTGGGAACAGGGCGTCACCACTCTGCCCTCTCACTGTCATCTCACAGGCACCCACCCTCAGCACCCAGAACACCCAGACACTCTCCAAAGGACGTGAGGGCATCAGAGGGGATGTGTGCACATCCTGTGGGGGTGTTAGGCATGCTGGGTTGATGGAAGTGTGGCGGAGAGGCGGGGGGAACTTGTGCACGCCTTGGTTTGCAACTGTTGCAGGTGCGGGAGGGTGACAGTGTGCTGGGGGATGTTCGCACGCCAGGGGGGGATGTGCACACCGGAGGCCTCTGGCTTTGCAGATCCGCAAACTCCCATGGTGCGGCCAGGAGGACGTCAGTCTGGCCCACCATGGTGGCTGTCCCTGCGATCCTGCACCTTCTGGGCCAGGAGGCGGAGCTTGCGCAGCCACTCCTGGGCGCTGATGGCCTGTAGGCGCTACTTCAGCTCAGCCTGCAGGCTCTGCTTGGTGCACTCACAGCTGTCACCACCGCCATGTGGGGAGTACAGGCCGCCCTCCGTCAGCCTGCCTCCCCTGTCCAGAGGCTCTCTGCACTGCTCACCTGCCCAGAGTGACTGGGGCTGGGCAGAAGCCAGGCGTCCTGCCCTGCCCAACCCCGGCCGATCCGCCACTGTGCGAGCTGCCGCCCCGCTGGGAAGGGTCACAGATCCGGGTCCCAGGACCACGGACAGCCTCAAGCACTGCCCCCCTCCCGGCAGGGTCACGGATCTGGGTCCCAGACCGCGGACAGCCTCAAGCACTGCCCCCCACCTGGCAGCGTCACAGATCTGGGTCCTGGGACAGCGGACAGCCTCCCGCGCTGCCCACCACTCGGCAGGGTCACAAATCCGGTCCCAGACCGTGGACAGCCTTGCCCGCTGCTGCCCGCCTTCAGTATGCAAATTAGCCGCCATCTTGTTGCTTCAGGGTGGGGGTCCCCACTGGGGTGCCTGGCCAGCCTGGATGAGGGGATGATGGCTGTTTTTAGGCTGCCCGCACCCTCTTCAGGGTGGGGGTCCCCACTGGGGTGCCTGACCAGTCTGGGTGAGGAGCTGAGGGCCATTTTCAGGCTGGAGGGCGACTAAAGCTCCCAACCTCTCCTTTTTATCTTTTTTTTTTATTCTGGGATTTATTTACCTTCTATGGCTGTCACTGGAGCTGAGAGCCGGCTGCAGCTCTGAGACCTCAGCTGCTGAAAGCAGGTATCTGGGTTTGTTCTATAATTGAAACAATGTTGCGGCCCTGCTGTCTGAAGCCCGGCTGGCTGAAAGCAGGTTTCTGGGATTGTTTAGCTTCTATACTTGTAACATTGTTTCTTAGAGTGCAAGCTCAGAGGCCGGCAGCAGCAGGTGGGGAACCTTGGCTTCCTCCATCACTGGAGTAAGCATGCCTCCTGTTCGCTTCAAGCTGCCTGGCTGCCGGCCACCATCTTGGTTGGCAGTTGATTTGCATATCACCCTGGGTAGCCAATGGGAAGCATGTCGGAGGTATGGTTAATTACCATGTTTGTCTATTATTAGATAGGATATGATGGATTGTATTTTTAATGAAAAAATTTAGGTCAAAAAATTTTATGAGCAGTATTTCACCATAAAATTTAGTGAATTTAAAAAAAATTCAAGTTTTATTTTTAAGAGCTAACTAACTCAAAAGACAAAGTTACTATAAATGGAGAAAAGTCCACATGCCTCCAAACAGCTCTTT